ATTGTCATGTTTTTAGTGCATGAATCTGAATTGAACAACCTGATAATGCTCACTCTGGTTATTGTTATCTGGTTGCTCACTACGTGCTCTTGCGCGCCGAATCCAATCAATTAAAAATGAAAACTGTTGCCAGCGCGAGAAAAGAAATATCATCGGTTTTATTGATGCATACATACATACATACATACGTATTAGCATTTTATATAATATAGATACAGGCCTTAATTAAAGTTCACGTGAATATTAGGGTCGGAACAGACTGAGAATCTCAGATTTTCTGAAAACCCGCTGTGTTAGACTTTTTCTTTGGAAAAATTAATACCAATGATATTTTCTTTTCTTAAAAAAAAAAAGGCTTCATTATGTCCTCATAAATGATACCTGAAAACAAGATCAGATGAGTAAATCATCATCTAATTCAGATGAACAAATAAGTCTGCTCTGTGTGCTTCCCTTTTGGGGGGAAATGGGGATGGCATATCTGCCAACTCTTCCGGATATTCCGGAAGATTTTATTTTCATTTTCGAAGTGGTAGCAATACTCGGGTTATTCCAATTAACTTTTTGAATTATAATGATAATTATAAATGAGTTTGACCACCACTACAAATAAATAATTACAATAAATATATGAAAGCATAGTAATCTTTGGGCAAGCGAATTTCAACGTGATCAAAATATAAATATATTTTTGAGTCACATTGTTTTTCGTTTATTGTTTTACAATCACTCTGAAAATCCATTCTCGGAAAGAGTGAAAGTTGGCAGGTATGGGATGGGATTTGGGAATTTCATTTTGAATTTTCTTATAGGCAAACAAGTAAAGTTGTGGGGAGAGAAATTATCGCCAATGTCAACCTTCATCTATGAAAACGTACCCGTTCATAGAATAGAGTTCACTTGTCTTATACACTAGTGAATTGGAATTGTGAAAGACGCGCTACAGTACTCCCCCCCCCAGAATTTTATCTGTGATAGAATTCGATAGTCGGATACCACTAGTTGATTCATGGTTGTTTAGCGAGAAGCCAGGAAAACTGTATTAAGATCACCGTACTTTCAGTGCTGATCGTGAAAGCTATATTAAGTTGACAGTCGTGGTCACTTTTTTGTTGCCATTAGCAGTCGAGCCGATGTTGTGTGTGATCGAGACTGAGTAGCAACAGCGCGTGGATAATGTCGCAGTCACATATAGAAAGTCAACTGTTTAATGTGGATCATCCATCGAAGTGAGAGTTTCTGTCAAAGTAGGCGTGTTCACGTCACGTCTGGGTCACCAATGTGGGGAGACTCACATCTACAATGTCAACCCTAATGTACCCTGACATAAAATCGAATTAACATGTCTTGTATACTAAAGAATTGGAATTGTATTTTTGTAGTAGTAGACACACTACACTAAGATACTTTATTTTCGTTAAAAAAAAAAAGTTCATTATGTCCTCCTAAATGATACTTGGAGGCTTCCTTTCTCTTAAGATCAGATAAGTAAATCATTATCTATATCAAATGAATAAATAAGTCTGCGCTTTTTTTCTTCCCTTTTTGGAGGGAAATGGGAAGTGATTTTGAATTTCCTTATAGATAAGCAAGTGATGTTGCGGGTAGACTGCATTCTTATTTCATTAATTGATTTGCCATGAAATAAGTAAAAGCCTTTTCTAAAAGAAAGATTATATGTAGTAAGCTTTAAAATTCCAAATCTTAAGTAAATTAGTGTATTTGAAAATTCATCATGAAAACATAATTTTTTTTTACTCAAGTTTAAAATTGAAAAGTTATTTCGAAAATTTAGTTCAGTTTTCTTTAATTGTTCGTCGAAATTTTAAACAATGTTTTTGAATGAATTGATTTCTCTAAAGCAATAAAACGTGATCGGAATGCTGAGGTGCTTTAAAGATCAGTTCGGACAATGTTTTTCGCCGAGGAAAAGTTTACTTGAAATATAGGGGTTGGACGAAATAATGGAAACACTTCTTTTTTCATATTTCTCAAGAAATACTTCATAACTTCAGAAGTATTCAAGTCATGCAATTTCTCATGCATGTCAATAAATTTTAAAGGTTGGAGGGATCGGCAATTGGTGTTTTTGGAGCTCAAAATGTCGACGATGAGCTTGTAACTCATATCAAATACGTTGATTGTCATATTAAATAACTACACTCAATTTCGTAAACCTAACTTAAATATTCATGGAAATATGAACATTTTCATTAAAAAAGCTAATTTTCGCTAATAAACGTTTTCTTACTATAACTGTAGAAATATTCAATAAAATAAAATAAAAATTTTTGAGTAATTTTGAGTTAATTATGAAAATATAAATTTAAAATTTGAAAAAAAAATCGTTGAAAACTGTGCTAGATATGAGTATTTAAAGTAGTATTTTTGTACTAAGCATGCGTTGAAAACAATTGAAAATAACTTTCTAATTTTGTTTTGATCCATATTTGATAACTTATGAAAAAAAAAAGACGAATTTGAATATCGTGAAAATTTAAAAAGTTTCTAGCAATTTTCTATAACAATTCAATAACAATCGACACGGCAAAGAAAAAATCTTTTTTTTAAATTTTGTCATAACATGGAATTCATAAATTCTAAAATCATTTTATGAATTTTTGTTTCGTGATACAAAATGAATTTGTGGAAACTGAAAACTTCTTACATTTGCAAAATATTCATAAGTTATCAAAAATAATTCTAAACGATTATGAAGAAGAAAAAAATGACAAGATTATGAAAAAAAATAAATAAATAAACAAATGTTTTTCGCTCATGCACAATATGAAAGGTTTATTTTAAATGCTAATATCTTGAGTAATTTTTGAGAGTGTTTTTCAGATTTTAAAATTATATTTTTATGATTAATTCAAAATTACTCTAAAAAGTTTTCGTTAAATTTTATTGAATATATCTGCAGCTATAGTAAGAACGTAAATCAAAAAAATTAGTTTATAAAAATATCCATATTTGCATGATTTTAAATAATTATGCAAATATACGTAATTACGTGATTATCATATAAGATAACTACACAAAATACGTAATTTTGTATAGTTATTTTATATGATAATCAACGTAATTAGCATGAGTCACAAGCTGTATTTTTATGGCATAAAGTGTTCAAAAACATTAATTTTCTTTCGTAATTTACTGCCGGTCTCTTAAACCTTTATTAATATGTATGAGAAATCGCACATCTGAAGTTTTAATATAATTCTCTGACACTATTAGATCCACAAAAAGGAGTGAGAAAGCACTCTTTTTTGCGGATGTAGTCGTGTGAGCTGATGACTAGAATATCTTTTAATTATTTTGTTTTCCTACTTTTTACATACATATATATCTATATATATATATTTTAAATAAAAAGAAATAGAGAAAACTTGGAAAAAATATAATAAAGATTAATAAAAAGAGAAGAAAAAAAATTATTAAAATAAAATACTTATAAAATATTAAAAAAGAACTCTATCAAAATCTGTTACATAATTCATTTGGGTTTTTGCAGGTATGGCCAGACTTGTTTAATTCAATTCGAAGATTTTGGTAATCAAAATGCTTTTCGATTATTGGAAAAATACAACGATCATTATTGCACTTTCAATGACGACATTCAAGGTAATCTCTTAAAATTATCTCTACAGAATGTGTTTTGAGAAAAAATTATAGACTCATGAACCAAAAAAGATTTTCCTTCTTTTTTCTATTGAAAATATTTTGTAATGAATGATGTTATTAAAGTTTCATGAATCTAAAAGGCTACGAAATTGAAAGAGGAAATGAATTATGAAAATACAAATTTTTTTTACCTTCCTTTTAATGTTCAAAATTCTGTAATTTATTGGTTTCAATTTAAGTATCAAATTAAATCATAATGTATATAAATTGAATGAAAAGTATTAAAAATCAAAGGTTTTACAGGATGTTGCATAGTTTAAGAACTTCATTTTTAAACGAGTGACATTATTCACGTAAAGCATTCACAAATATGTTATGAGAGACCTAACCTTTCTATAGAAAGTGCGGAAGCATTTTCTAGGGAACTCATATTATTTTTATAAAATGTAATGAGCGGAACAAATTTGTTTTCATATAATACATCAGGTTTGAACGCGCTCTCTAATTTTTCTATATTTAAGACAAGTTTATGGGAGAAAGGATATAAACAAAAATGTGTATTATAATTTTCAAAACGTTTAAGTTTTTTGTTGTTGTAATTTTTGTGAAAAAATTTACTGGATTACTTTTTAAATAGTTTTATTTAATTAGTTGCTATACACATAATAGTTTTAGTTTGCGCGTAATTTCGAGACACATAATGATATTAGTTTTACGGCGATATTATTTACACATCGCGAAAATTATAACTTAATCAAAAGTCCTAAGTAATTCCTTAATCAAAATTCCTCTAATTTAGTTAAACAAAAAACTTGATTTACTGGTTTGTCATATTCGTGATTGCCAGAGTTAGAAAAAAAAATTTTTTTTGGTTCTTTTTCGCTTAAATATTTCTCAATTTTGAATGGTTGGTGTGTTTTATGATTCCAGGAACAGCATCAGTGGCCGTGGCTGGAATTCTATGCAGTGTTCGATTGACTGGCACCAAAGTGTCTGAACACACATTCCTCTTCTACGGCGCAGGAGAAGTAAGAGTTTACAAATAAAATATCATTTTATTCACTATTTTTTTAAGCAAACCAAAACGAAATTTATATTTTATAAATATGAATTGTATTTTATTGAAAACATAAATCAATAAAAACAATCATAACATTAGATATATTTTGGATTCACTTTGAAAGATTATAGTAAATTAATTTAGAAAATAAAATGTAAAGTAAATTTTAGATGTCAGCTTTAAGATTTAAACTAACAGTTTTAATCTAACTTTACTAGCGATTTAAACAATCTAATTTTCTAAAAAGAGAAAAGAAAAAAAACGATATAAAACATAATTGAGCTTTGTAAAATATTTATGGCAATAAAAGAGAGGAAATAACTAATATTTTAAGCTAAAAAATAAAAATAACTGAAATTGCAATGAGAGAAATACGCAATAGAGAAACTTAATATGTTATGTATTTTTTTTTAAAGGTTAACTGATCTTTAATAAAAAAAAAAACTCTAATTACTATACATTACCTTTTTTTATCCGTCGTTGAACAGCAGACCCAATTTTGGAGGTTGACGACTCCTAATGTTCAACTCTGAAGCCCTGTAATTTTGAACCCAATACAGAAGACAATGGAACTCCTAGATCAATGATTGAAAGAATTTGCCTTCGTGGAGGACTCTTTGATGGAACTAACCCGCATTTGCATTACATGGACAGGAAAGCCACGAAAACCTCCAAAATCTGACTTCAGTAATGTCCCAACACCCCTACTTGAAATAGTTAAACCTCGTAACCATAGCCACCGCTACTACTCCTGACGAATGATTAGGGGAGTTCTTTACATCCACAAACTATACTGTGGGCGATGTCTGCTTTAGAAAGACGCTTCCCGGATACCTTGTTTACTTTCGGTTGATGAAGAGTTCTTTATAGTTTGTCTAAAGTAAGAACTCCCTTAACCATTCGTCTGGACCCATGACGGTGACTATGGTGACGATGTATAACTATTTCAAGTAGGGGTGTGGGGTCATTGCGTAGGACAGGTTTTTGTTAAGGGTCGGCGAGATTTTCTTCGGTCTACTGTTGTAACCCTAGAGTGAAAAGAACCTACCCTCCCTAGAATGCTATATTCTTGTTTCCATAGTAGCAGGCGGCCTCAGACTTTGTGGCGGGGGGAGTTCTTACCGTAGACAAACAGTATTTTTTGAGGGAGGGAGGGGGGTTCATATTGTTCGAATTGAGCCGCGATAGCTCAGGGTAAAGAGCGTTCGTCCAATGAGGTGAACAAGGTTCGAATCCCCAGCGATGATGGCTGATCGAAACGAATCCGCATCCGGATTGCACCGACCACAGTGCTGACGTGAAATATCCTCAGTGGTCGACGGATCATGGGTTGCAGTGGTGCGCAAACTAGGCGTCGCGACCCCTGTGGGGGTCACCAGAAGTTTTTTTGGGGTCGCCAAATTTTTATGAAATGCATTATCCCTGCATGCTGCATACTATACAGTGTACATATAAAGAGTGAAGCGCCGTCACTCACTGTTTAATTGCAATTGGATTTCCGAAATGTCACGAAATATCGAGTCAGAAGTCATAAAACGCATACAAAATTCATCTGTATTTGCTTTACAACTGGACGAGACTACCGATATTACTAAAATGTCACAACTAATTATTTACGTTAGGTTTATTTTTAATGAAGATATAACAGAAACGTTTTTATGTTGCAAAAGTTTGGAAGGAAAAACAACTGGAGAAAAAATATTCGAAGTAATAAATGAATATTTTGAAACAAAGTCCCTTACCTGGGCAAACTGTGTTGCGGTTTGTACTGATGGTGCTGCAGCATTAACAGGTTCGAATAAAGGGCTCAGAGGCTTAATTCAGAAGGTGGCACCTCATATGGTATTTAATCACTGTATGATTCATCGGCAAGCTCTTGTTGCAAAAGATATGGATGAAGAGTTGCACAACGTATTACAAGACGCTGTTAGTTCAATTAACTACATTAAATGCAACAGCCACAACAGCCGTCTCTTTTCAATACTTTGCAATGAGATGGGCTCAACGTATGAGAAATTACTGTTACACACCGAAGTCAGATGGCTTTCACGTGGGAAAATACTACGACGGATATTTGATTTGAGAAATGAAGTGTACATGTTCTAAATCGAAAAGAAACATAGATTGGCAAGTTATTATATCAATGAAGTTTGGCTAGGGAAGCTGAGCTATTTAGTTGATATTTTCGAAAAACTTAACGACTTAAATTTGAGCTTGCAGAGTGAGAATTCAACTATCATAACTACAGCCAGTAAAATTCAAGCTTTTAAGAATAAGTTTAGTCTCTGGCAAACTGAACTGAATAAAAACAACACCAACATGTTCCCTTGCTTTAACGATTTTATCAAGGAAAATAATATAGATATATTTACATTTAAAAACATCATTTCCAATCACATTGAAAAGTTAAAGAAAAAATTTTCGAGAAGATTCGAGGATTTTCCTGAAAACGATCTTGGTTGGATTCGTGATCCATTTTCCTTTGACATATGCAGTTCAACGCTTCAAATTAATGAGAAAGAGCAATTGATAGATCTAATTAGTGATTATACTCTTCGAAATGAATTTAAGACTCAGCCTTGCCAAAAATTTTGGCTATCCGTGGAAAAGCAACATCCCGTTTTATGCAAGAATGCCATCAGAGTGTTAATACAATTTGCATCAACATATTTATGTGAAACTGGATTTAGCAAACTAGTTTCAATAAAAACTAAATACCGCTCGCGTTTAAACCCTGAAGATGATATGCGAATTGCAATTAGCTACATACATCCAAACATCGATGGGATAATTAGAAACTTGCAGCCACATACATCTCATTAAGGGGCAATTTACTGATTTTTGTGTTATACAAAAAGTATTTTCTTAAAATTATAAATAAAATTAATATGAGTCAGATTAATATGAGTTGCGCACCACTGGGTTAGAGTCCCTTTGTCGTCAGACTAGCCGTGGGAGGTTCTTGTGGTCTTCCTCTCTATGTAACGCAAATGCGGTGTTAATGCCATCAAAAAGTCCTCCACGAAGGCAACACTTCTCCGATTACTTGATCCAGGAGTTCCCTCGTCTTCTGGATTGGGTTCAAAATGACAACGCTACGATGTTAAGCATTAGTAGTCGTAAATCCATAAAAATTGGGTCGGGTGTTCACACCGATGGTTATAAAATATTGTACGAATTGAATTAAATATAATTTTTAATTTACTTTTTTTAAAAAGAAAAAAATATCCCCCTCCTAAAAGTTTAAAAATAATCTGGATTTTGTGTCATTTTTTTACAGGCAGCCTTAGGCATAGCAGATTTATTAGTAATGGAAATGGAGGAAGAAGGGGTCTCCAAAGAGGATGCCTATGCCAAAATTTGGATGTTCGATTCCAGGGGGCTCGTCGTCACGGTTCGAATACAGTTTCTTTACTTACACACTATATAACAAAATAAAAAAAAAGTCTTGATACACAGTTCTTATAAAAAAAATGTGTAAAAGTAAGTGATGAAAAAGGACTAAAATACAATCAGACTTCTATTGAGCGAACTTCCGTTTTGCGATTTTCTCTATTTCACGCATTTTTTCGAGGAACAAAGAACGTTTTGGAAATTTCTTCGTTAACTAACTTCGAAGTAGGGAAGTGAATTTTCTATTTAACGAACTTTTCTTTGAGATTCACTTTCACTATTTCCCAAAATTTTTCGGAACATTTCAAACTTGTTAATGCATTTTCTAGGGGAAATGACTTTGAATTGATTTTCGCAGCCACTAAACTTTTAGAGAAAGCGATAAAATCCCTTTTTGTTTGCATTTCATACAGGAATCCATGTCAAAAATCAATTTACGAGACAGCATTGCAGAAATGTCTAAAACATGGAAATAGGATGTCACAGATCGTACTATTCGTAACAGTTTTGATAAAGCTGGATTCTTGGTCAGCGTGGAGAATTTGGAAAATGCGGAGGACATTCTTTTAGAAGAACTTAAAAAAATATCGGTGCAGCTAAGAGAGAACCACGAAATGAACGATGATCTACTGATTAATGATTTTCTTTTTATTGATTTTGAAGATGCAACCACAAAAATGTTGACTAAATCGGATATTTTGGACAGAGAGAAAAATAAAATAATACGGCAATAAATTGCGAGGAAGAACATGACAGAAATGATAAACAAATCAACAAATGAAATGTTTAAATCATTTGCAACAGTTCGATAGTAGATATTAATTTATAAGATAAAAGTGCATTAATTGCTATTTTATTTTAATTATGTCAAGTGTTTCTGAATTTAAAATCTGTTTTGTGTTGTTTAAGTATTTCAAATAGAGATTTTCTATTTAACGAATTTTCCATGTAAGGAACTTTTTATCGGGATTTAGCGACTTTGTTAAATAGAGGTCTGACTGTAGTTTTTTTTTAATAAATTTTTTTCTGAATGAAGGGTCGATTTTATTCAATTTAACGAAATGACGTAACTAGATAAAGTGACTCTTACGTTCGTAATGTCCTTTTTTATTCATGAGCCAATTTTGGTGTTTACAGAAAGAATTATTTAATTAAAATGCTGGAAATATATATACATAAAGTATTTAAAAAATTTTATTGAGATAATTTTTCGTTTTCAGTTTCAAGAATTATTTTCAGGAAGATCACACTTTTTACTAGCTCAATTTTTCTTTTCAAATACGATTCAATTTTTTTTCATCATATACATAAAAAGAAAATTAAGAAGGTTTTTGTTTGTTTTTGGTCATTAAAAGAAATAAAAAGTTGTTTCCAGATAAAATATTTAAAGATTTTCTTATATTTCAAAAACAGTTTCTTGACCTCAATTGTTTTTTTTTCTTTTCCGAATATTATTAGATATCATACTTCTAAAATAAAAAAGTCAAAAAGGTGTTTTTTTGTTTTTGATCATTGTAATAAAAAGTAGCTTTTACCTATATACTTCAAAAAATTCAAATAATGTTAAATATCATACTTTTTGATTTCATTGAAAAAATATTCATTAAAAAATGGTTTTTACAAAATTGTTTCAAGATATTTTTAGAGTTTATAAGTTTCCTGATCTAAATTTGTTTTTCACAAGATGTTAAATATTATACTTTTTAACGTAGAAAAATACCAAAAAAGTTTTTGTTTTTGATGAAAAACAAGTTATAAAAACATATCTGTATTTTTAAAGTTGATTCCTACTTATGTCAAAGAAAAATTTTATTTCAGTTACTTTTTATGAAATAATTAAAAATTTTTCTTCTATATAAAACTAAAATTAATGAATTAAATTTAATGAATGAATTAATATTTGAAAAAAGCGTATTAACATCAACTGTCATTCACTGCAAGTTTTAAAAAAAATATATTTGAATTTGAGTGGATAAATAAAAAGAATTTTAAGTACCGATTGAAAATTTGAATAAGATATATAGGGAGAGTGTGAATTAAATAGTAGGAATTAAAGGGGAAGAAAAAACAGTGGTTTTATATTTAAATAAAAAGTGGTTTTCAGCCGAAATATTTTAAGCTTCTTTCATCGTAAAAGAAAAAAAGTTTCCTAAACTTCTTTTTTTTTTCCCTCTCAAAATGTTAAATTCACATTTTTCAACGTAAAGAAAATCATTTGAAAACTTTATCTGAATGAAGTGGGAATGAGTTGATGATAAAATACTTTATTTATTTAGAGCAGAGATCCGTCTGGCCTGAAAGACCATAAGAAATGGTATGCAAAGGACCATGCTGAAACAAAAGATTTGGAAAAAATGACAGAACACATCAAACCCTCAGTTCTTATTGGTGAATATCATTTTTTTCTTCTTCCGTTGTGCATTTACGCTTTTGCTAACTAACCTCCCCCCACCCCAATTTCAACTCACTCCTCTTTTTTTTTTTTGAGAATAAAAGTCCATAAAGACTGAGATAGCCTGGTTGGTAGGGCACTGGACACATGTCCAAGCGGTCGTGGGTTCGATCCCCACCGACCGAAGACTCTCTGTTTGGCAGATGGTGTCTGATGCACGTTAAATCTGTCGAGTCTCGAAGTTTTCCACGCCCCCATAACAAATCATACCTCTGGAGATACTAATCCAGGAGTCTTCTGGGTTGGTTCAAAATTACAAAGTTCGAAGTTGAATATTCGTAGCCGTAAACCGTAAAATTGAGTCGGCTGTACAGCGACGGTTATCAAATGAAAAAAAAGTAAAGGTAGGTAGTGCATTAGTATATTTACGTCGCTCTAGAGTTGCACAATGGGCTATTGGCGACGTTCAATGAAACTTCTCGGAGGATGATCCGAAGACACGCAGTTGCAATTTGGAACCTCTGCAGAGGGGGTGGCTCTTCTTCTTTGGTAGCGCGATGCGTTCGAAGTCGAGCACTTTACGGTAGAACTGTTTAACGAGAACCGATACCGCAACTAGGCCCCTACGCAGACTGATCCAAGTGGTCACCCACCCGCGCCACTGAGTGATGCTTGACTCCGGTGATCTGCTGGGAACCGTGTCTTAACAATCAGTCCTCTGTGGGACTGTAAAATCTTGTACAGTTGATTAAATCTTTAATTGCTGAACTATAAAGCTGCATGTTTGAACTCCTACTATGTAAATTATTAGGTCAAAAGGTGTTTGTATACTTTATTAGGTGCTTCCGCTCAACCTGGAGTATTCACAGAGAAGGTGCTCAGGATGATGCAGAATACATGTAAACAGCCCATTGTTTTTGCCCTCAGTAACCCCACTGACAGGGCAGAATGCACAGCAGAACAAGCTTACACTTTCACAGATGTAAGTTTAGTATTCCATTCTCTCACTATAAGTTGTATAATTATGCAAAACTTAAGTTATTGCTCATTTATATAAAATCATTAATTTATTAAAAGATTAAGTAAGTATTTTGATAACCGTTAATTTAGTTCAGTTTTTTAATATTTTTCAAAAAGTAAATAAATAAAAAGCTTTTCATTATAGACGTCTTCTTTTCTTTCTTACATTTTTACCCATTGGCAAAATGGTAATTGGTTTGAGTTTGATGGTGAGTGCATCTTATTTGGAAGTCATCACATTTTTCAACTGTGTTCAAGAATAATAGTAAACAGTGCGCATGCGTTGCTATGGCGACCGCTGCGTTTGATAATTTTATTAAAATCATAATAAGTATTCTTTAGCCCGCATTAGTTGAAAATAAGCTTGTTACATTATTTCTTTATTCTTATTAGCTTTTTCTTATTCCTTATTTATTTTCACCAGCAGGCATTTCTAATGTATTTACGTAATAATAATTTAAAGTATTTTTATATATTTTTTATTATTAACTTAACAATGACTGTCTTGACGTAGATTTTAATATAAATATGAATACTGAAGAAGGACGTATTTTGTGACATCTTGAAACACGTACATAGGCAGGATTTGAAATAGTGTGGCTTTTATCTGAGTTAATCCAGAAAAGAAAAAGAGCATTTGACCAAGCCGTTACCAAAGATCGTAATATCACAATTTTTATTTAAAATTTGTTGTAAACCTTTATTTTTTCAATGATAAGTGCTTTTGCCGATGTGTTCATTTCTTTGACTTTTAACTTTTCTCGTGTAGCAATGAAATTGAGGGACGGGGTTTGACAGACTAAAGTTTTTTCATGAACAAAAGTTATTAAATTATAGAAAAATGAAGGTATAGGAAAGGAAAGGCTGCTTATTTGTATGTTGTTTTTTTGTTAATGTTTTTGAAGTCAGAAAGCATTTGAAACTTCGTAGTTTCAAATGCTTCTTCGCATTTTATTATATTATATGGAATTATTGTGGATATTTTATAATATTCAGAAAATTACTTTATTCCACTCTTTTTTCTTCATTTTTGAAATTAACCTCTTTGTGCTTAACATGTTTTGAGAAATGCTTTACATTACTAATAGTAAAAGTTTTTATATTTATTTAAAATTTTCAAGTTTAGAAAAAGAAGCCACTGTTAAAAATACTGGCCAATAGCAAGGTTTGATAATTTTGCCCTATAGCTGGCAGCAAAGGATAGTGGACATCAACTGCAAGGCGACTAAACACATCAAATAGGCGATTAAAAATTTTTCTGCTAGTCGCCACTTTTTTGGTCAAAAATGTGCATTTAATTTACTTTTTCAATAAAAATGGAATTATTACAAAAATTTTATACTATGCAGGAAATTAATTTGACGCCTTTCTTCATTTTGAAATGAACCTTGTATCGTTCTATATATTTTGAAAAATGGTTCAAAAGGAATGACTTGTATCATGGATAGCAACAAATCGTTTTAGATTGGGTACTTGCACTTCAAGAAGATCACAATACCCAAGACATGTGACCTATGACGTCGGCACCAGATGATGGTTTATAAGCAAAATGGTGTGTTAAAGTGGAGCTAAGTTTCTCCACATAAATTATAATGTTAATAAACGTGAAATTAATAATTGAAATCTTTGTGAATAAGAATGTGTCACTTAAGACAATTGATATTTGACTGACTTGGCTTACTCGAAATAGAATGGAAAGAGCAGTTGCTAACGTAAGCAAATGGTTCCAACAACCAATCAGGATCGAGATACCCACACCACTTGCAGGAAACCATTGTTTAAAATTCTCCATCTGGGGAGTAGACTGATTTCATGCCTTTGACCCTCTCCTCTTTTCAGTTGTATGTACTACGATATTTTTCCCTTTCTTAATATTTTTCGTATTTCATTGTTAAAAATATTTTTTCAAAATTTTCTTGACGCTTTCTTTTAGAACTATGTTTAATGTAGTTTTCAGTTCCATTTAATTTCCCAACTTAAAAGATTTTAATTTATATGAAAATCAAGACAGAAACATACGTACTTCCTTCTTCTATGACTCTCCACACGCTATTGGTGAAAGCAGCAAAATTAGATCCATATTAGTTGGCAGCACATTAGATGTCTTTTGTTTTTCAGGGTAAATGCATATTTGCGAGTGGAAGTCCGTTTCCAGCCTTCACCTACAAAGGAAAGACATTTCATCCAGGGCAGGGCAACAATGCCTACATATTCCCAGGAGTTTCTTTGGCGCTTATAGCTTGTGAGGCACGATCCGTCGGTGACAAGGTCTTCCTAGTGGCAGCTAAGGTAATTGCTAACTATTCAATATTTTTTTATAGTTACTAAAGTACATACATAAGCTAATTTAAATCATTGCAAACTTTTATATTTGTTAACTTCGGTATTATGGTTATTTAGTTAACATAATACCGAAATGTACTAACATAGAGAAATATTGCTGTTCAGCTATATCATAATATTTAAAATAAATATAAATTCTCCAAAAACCTTTTGCCTGAGCTTCCTTTTGAAGTCCATAAAATGTTGTTATATGCGCATATTTCATAGAATTTCATTAAAATTTCCCAAGTATATTTAATTAACCGCATAATACACATAGTCTCATAATAACATAAATATTTTAAATAATGATCTATATATATATTTCTCTTACACGGCGACAAAAAAAAGCCTCATTACAACTCCCCGAATGGCAACGCTAGAAAATAGACTAATGATTGCCGCTAAAAATGTCACATGCCAAATCTAGCTGAGTTGGCTCAACATATAGCTCTTTTAAAAACGGAAACTGAAATAACAATTCAGATGCGGCAATCTCATACTATTAAGCTAGGCAGAAGTGAGTAGTCTTTGTCTATAGATCTCTATTTTAGTAATTTGTCGAAAGCGCTTTTTTTCAAGAATTTATATATTGCGAATTTATTTGACGATTTTTGATTTATGTCACGAATTTTTTTGTATTATTATTGTTATTCATTGAAAAACGAGTCTCAGTCAATGAGTCTTTATTTGAATTCAAATTTATTTCAATGACTTAGTATTTTTTTAAAAAAAAAAAGTTATATGGATTTGAATGACTGTTTTGAATTCTTAGAATTTCGTGCATTTGCAATGTACCTAAGTTAGTAGCGAGCGAAGCAAACCATATAAAATTGCGTAGCAATTTTCGGGGGTTGGCGAGTGTTAGCGAGCAGGGGCGCAGCCCACTAGTATTAAAGATTACATTCACTAAGAAATTTAGAAGAATTCTTAAGCACTAATAACTTTTATTTTTTAAGTTCAGGATTTTCTTTTCTTTCACCTTGTACATTTTTCTTTTCTTCTCTGTTTAAAGTTAAAGAGACAGTATTGATTTCAATGGCTAATAAAAGTTCTTAAACGTCTAAACGAAAAACATAATGCGTTTCAATTCACAAATTCTTCTAGTACAATTTATAATTCATTTGATGTCACTCTTATATTTTCTGAAGTAAAATATGGAAAATTACCCTTTGACAGAAATCAGAAGCTCGGAGAGGCACAAGTCTCTTTAAAGGAGTGACCTAGCCCTTCTATTCATTCTTTAGCCCTGGGTACAAATGGTGTACAGGTTGCAAGCAAAGGATTAAAATGATTTTCTTAAATTTTGAGAAAAATGAATTTTAAATGAGCCACCAACTGAAGCTGAAAAAATACTGTTAAAAATATTCGGAGTACAAATAAGTTTCCGCCGTTTTATATCAAAAATTGGCAGTTTATTGTGAATAAACGGTCCATTATCTTTTATTCAAAGTCTTCTCCATTACTGGACACTACTTTGTCTCATCTTTCTGGGAGCATTCCACGAATCGACCCATTCATAGGTATCTTCATAGATGTAAATTTCTGTTCAGACAGATCATGTGCCATCGACTGGAATAGGTGATAATCTGAAGGGACAAGATTTGGTGAATACGGCGGATGGGGTAGGACTTCCCATTCCAGTGTTTCCAAATAGCAAAATCGTCGTTCAATGTCTCTCGGCTTCAGTTCGTATGGAACCCAACTTCCTTGTTTTTGGATCATTCCCAACGATTTTAAACGATGTGGAATTGCTTACTGAGTCACTTGTAATGTAAGAGCAAGCTCTTGTTGCGTTTGGGACGAATTTTCTTCCAATTCCTTGCCTTCGTACAATTCCACTGCGTTCTTTGTCTTCCACGTCAAACTCACAGTTTTTAGACTTCTGAAACCACTCACGACAACTTCCCTCACTTAAAGCAGCCTCACCCTATTGTTTCTCCAAGCAATCGATGCACCTCTGCAGATTTCTTCAAATTAAAAAAAGTAAATCAACAGTTCCTGCAAATGACGCTTATTTGGCACAAAACGTGACATTTTTGCTCGAAAACCAAAACTTTACGGTCATGTTGTTACCAGATGAACAAACTTACAATAAGAAGTTTAACATCAATAACATAACCTTCTGGTAGTTACCATCTTGTGAGGAACAGCGGTAATCACAATAAATGTATAGGAATTATAAAATGATGTTTAAGTAGGATATCTCCATATTAAATAAAATCGTATGATTTATTTTATTCTTAGGCTTTAGCTGAACAGGTATCCAAGGAAGATTTGGCGGAAGGGCGTGTCTACCCGCCCCTCCACACCATTCGCAAAGTGTCTCTGACCATCGCAGCAAAAGTGGCCCGCTTCCTGTTTACCGAGGGTCTGGCCACCATCAAACCCGAACCACCCGACTTAGAGACATTCCTATCTACAAAGCAATACAGTTACGAGTATGACGGTTAAACAAGAGACATTTATTTAATATTTGTTAAGATGGATGATGATGAATGTATTCGTGTTTATTACTGAGAATGAATTAATGTTTGTTATATTATGATCTGTACATCAGAATAAATATCATGTATGTTTATGTGTTCGATTTTTTTTTCTTTTTTATTAAATAGCCAATTCAAATATCACCTGTCCTGCAGAGGACTGATCGTAAAGACACTGTTCCCAGCAGATCACCGAAGTTAAGCATCACTGGCTGCGGTCAGTGTGCGGGTGGGTGACCACTTGGATCAGTCTGCGTAGGGACCGAGGGTGTGGGGTATGGGTCCTCGTTGAACTGTGCTACCGTAAAGTGCTCGACTTCGCACGCAGGTCGTCGGGCTACCGAAGCGGGGGTGCCATCCCCTCTGCAGAGGATCAAAATTGTGATGGCATGTCTTCGGATCATCCTCAGGGATGTTTCCCAGACCGTCGCCAATAGCCCATTGTGCAGCTCAAGTGCGACGTAAATTAACTACAACAACAACAACCCAGTAGAACAACGAAGTCTTGTATTACTGGCTGTGGTCATCAAGTGGGTGGGTGACCACTTTGAACAGCCTGCGTAAGGACCGAGAGCTTACGGTATCGGTTCTACCGTAAAGTGCTAGACTTCGCGCGCAGGTCGTCGGGCTGCCAAAGCAGGGGAGCCATCCCCTCTGTAGCGGATCAAAATTGTGATGGCATGTCTTGGGATTTTCCTCAGGTACGCTTCCCAGACTGTCACCAATACCCCATTGCGCAGCTCTACTGCGACGTAAATAAAGAGCCAATTCTAGTATAACCTAATGGGGAAGCGTGATTTACTTATTTTTGCCGACAGAGGGGAAGGAGGGGAATACGTAATACATCAAAATCACTTAATTTTCAATAATTGTCTTTAAAAGCAAAACTGAATAAATAAATGTAGCGACAAAAACTAGGAGTAGAAATATCGCAAACATGTATTAAAAGTTGATTTCGAAAAAGATTACTTTGAAAAAAAAAATTTTTTTTTCAAATTTCATCTATCTATTATTGAAATGTCATCTTCTTAACTGAAAATGCGAATTTCCAGGCTAGCTTGAAACATTTCAACTAAACGTTTCTCTTTATGCAATTTAGAGAGGACTGTGGTCAGCATCTACAAAGCAATATCGCAAACATGCATTAAAAGTTGATTTCGAAAAAGATTACTTTGAAAAAAAAATTTTTTTTTTTCAAATTTCATCTATCTATTATTGAAATGTCATCTTCTTAACTGAAAATGCGAATTTCCAGGCTAGCTTGAAACATTTCAACTAAACGTTTCTCTTTATGCAATTTAGAGAGGACTGGTGTTAATAAATAATTCTCTAAACGTGGAAATTTAACATCGGTTTGATGTAAAATAATTTGCATCCATTAAATTTTATAAGCTGGTTATCCAATATGGAACAGGGTGCGTAGCCAAACCTTTCAACGAAAAATAAGCACCCTTTTAAGTACTAAAATAATATTTTTAAGCGCTATATACATTTAACAAAACGCAAAATAGTTATCCAAGACTTTACATAATCATGATAAAATATCTAATTTCTGATAAAGAACTTTTTTCTTGATTATATTAGCCACCATAAAAAGATTGAGAGATTTTTCAGTTCGATTTCAGAGGGTGGAATATGAAGTCTGAAATTGACAGTATCTTGTAAAATGCAACAGAGTGGCACATGAGAGTGCAAGAATCTCATCGAACGACGCACATGCGAACTCGTAATTATTTCATCGAACATGTAAAAAGATTGGGGCTTTCATACGCTATGGACCAATGGTACGCCAAAATGCATTGTGAAAACGTTGAATTAACAATGCGAAAACCTTGCTTTACCATAATACGTGGCGAAAATCGACACAGTTAAGAAAAATATCTCATTTTCGAAGAGGGAAAATGAAGCATCCTTCAAAAACATCCAATAAAAAAAAATCACCTTTAAAGGCTTTGAAAAGACGAAAATAAGTACCATTAAGCTCTTTTTAAAAACGCTACGCACCATGTGGAATAAAGTGGGGGGGAGAACCAAAGTCTTTACATTTAAAGAAAAAAACAACAACAAATATGACGTGCAATTAATTTATTAGTCTTTTTAAAATAAGTTTTTAACACAATTTTTAAGCATAGAAAATAATGCATTAAAATAAAAAGATAATTAGACATGATACATTATGTGCATCACAACTTGCTTATAAACACACACATATATTTCTAGAGCATTCAAAACAGATGCTCCCCAATGACGCATTTAACTAGAACAGTTTATTCTGAACAGATGAAAATATATTAAAGTATGAGACTTTCTGAACAGACAATAAAAGAAATGATGATTTTCTCCAAGTATATTAATGGAATGTATTTAAGAAAATCTGTGAATGCAAATTCATTGAGATTTAACTGTATTGTAACTAAAACTATTACAAGGTAACACATCTTGTGAATGAGAAGTTTCAATAGAAGAAATTTTGTAAATTAAGTTTTGGAAAACAATTTTTTATTCATGGTTTTAAAAACTATCAGAAAATCTTTGTAAAAGCCCTTTTTTTTTTTTTTAATTATTCAGAAAGAGCTAAAAAATTATTAATGGTATTAAATGTGTAACATATTTAAACAATTAAAAAAAAATGAGACAGAAAAGCAAAAAAAAAATGACTTATTTTTAAGAAAATATATTTTAAAATTAAAATTTAACTGCAATTTATTGCATATTTGAATGGAATGATACTGTAGGATTGTAATAATTCAGAAAAAGCTAAAAATATTATTAATGGTATTAAATGTGCAACATATTTAAACAATTATTTTTTAAAAAAACAAGATAGAATAGTAAATAAAATTACCTATTTTCATGAAAATATATTTTAGAATGAAAGGTTAACTTCAATTTATTGCATTTTTGATTGGAATGATATTAAAGGATTGAGTTTAAAATGAGACATTATCAAAAATCTACAGATGACAGTTACCAATAATAAAAAAAAAGTAAGAACATAGTTAACACAAATCAATGAACTTTTTATAAGACATAAAATTACATAAATGAGTATAATACAAAAATTTAATATTTAAATATATTATCCATGATAAAATTATACTTTAGTATCTCATATGAAAATGAATTAAAACTTTATCTAGAATTTTGAGATTCCTATAGGAATTTAAATATCGCTCAGATTTGTCAATAAACTAGCCCAAAATAGATATTTTTTTTATAAGATGGTAAGAAATATTTAATCATTGAATAATTTTGGAATTTCAATTGTATTGTGTATTCTGAACACAATTGCAAAAATGTATTTACATAAATAAGCATCTCGTTATAAAATGTCTAGATCAGTGGTTCTCAACCTTTTTTTTGTTGCGGCACACTTTCAACGATTTCGAAATTTGACGGCACACAATGAAAAATTAGATTAAAAGTTGTTTAATTACCCATCTTACACTGTGTTACATAGTTTGTGATAATAATTTTGAATGTGAAATAAAATAATATGTACTACAAAAGCACATTTATTAAGGGATTAATTATTTCTTTCGACCAATTTTTTACTAGTTAGTAACAGTTATTTATTTTTTGCTAGTTATTAATTGTTAGCTTGTTTTCTATAATTATTAACTGTTATTTTTCTGTGATTTCTTGTTAATTAGCTTTCTTGCTAATTATTAATTGTTAGCTAATTTTTTGTTAGTTATCCTTTGTTAATTTGTTTTTTATATATTTGTTTTTTTAGTTATCCTTTGTTAATTGCATAGCTTACTTTAATGATTAGCTCTTACAAAATTTTTTAAAATTGTGTTTCATATTCAATTTAAACACTTCCATCTTATTTTAAGATTGTCAGAGACAATAAAATCGCCGACAAAGATGTTCACGCGGTTAAAGCGTGAAAAAATTATGAAAAGTATCTATATATATATACACTTTTCTTTAATTTAAACTTTACTCATAATAAAAAAAAGCATTATAATTTTTATTGTATCATTTCTAATATTTGGCGGTACATTTTAAGAATTTGGCGGCACACAAAAGTGCCCCGGCACAGTGGTTGAGAATCACTGGTCTAGATGTTATTCAGAATCCTAAATTTTTATCTTAAAAAATAATACTAAAATCACTAAATCTAGATTCAAATTTTAATGATCATTTATAGATTTGTTGACATGATTCACATAAATGTTTAATGTTACAACATCAAAGTTTAAAACTGAAAGCATGCTCTTTGAAATCAAAGTTTTTTTAGTATGTAAAAAACATAATCACAGGCATTGCTTTTTAAAAATTTCGGAATTTAAAATCGGTATGTTGAGCACAGGCGCCAAAAATCATAAAATCCATTTAAATCGGTTGTAGTTAACTATAAGTGAGTTTTGGTTAAACTCTTTTAAGGGTGAAAGCATTATTGTCCATAAAAATGAAAGCCATCAATGTTTTCAATATCATATGATCAATATTTCTAGAATTTTAATTCTCCCCCCAAGAGCACACTTTACACCTACACTTGTATTTATTCGCTAAAAGAAACAGGAGTTACCTCAAAATATTTTGTGATAATTCATATAATTATTTCAATAAAACAACGAATGACTGATAAGCATAATATTTTACTATTTTATTTGTTAAATACTTATTTTCACCAGTAAACATTATACACGGATGCTTTCTTGTCCTGATAGATTTATTTAATTTTTGAATTTTTAAGATACGATTTTAAATTAATATTTGCTTAAATAAAAAGACGGTACTTTTTCATTAGTCGGGAGTAAGCGAAAAATCATCATATAATGTAGAATTCTGCCAAATTTCTCACAATCATAAGCGGAATGTTAGTTAGGGGTCACGTCCTCTATTCTCTGAATTCATTCAAAACAAAGCACGTTTTCCTTTCCTTCATTATTACTTCCCTTTATAAGCATTATATTTGTATAAAACAGCTAGGTTTACAATTCAGTATTATTTGTCCATAGTTGAACTTGCTTTGCTTACTATTAATAAATATTTGTTTATAGTTAAATGTTTTTGACTGTCACTCCGTTGGCTGATTTGTTATTTGTTTCACTCGGCTTGCGTTTGGTTCGTAATAGGAGACATTTGCGCCCGGCTAACAGAAAAAGTACCAAAAAGATTGCTAAAGGTACAGATAGAAAAAAAAAACATCACAGTTGGTCAATCAGTTATAACATTTATTAATTAATTATTAATTAATTAATTAATAACATTTTACATTAAAAAAAAGAGAGAATGGATTGTCTCCAAGTTGTATAAAAGTTGTGTAAGAAGTTCATAAATTACAAAAAAAAAATATCATAAAAAATAAAGCATAAAATTTCACTGTTAAGTAATTTTTAAAATTTTTTTTCTTTATGTTTTTTAAAAGTTACATGTTAACTGAAACTTAAGTTCATAGAAATTACAGAAAATTCTTAGCAGCTAATATATCATTTTATTATAAACAAGATCAAAAGAAAAAAGAACAGCTTTGATATTTCCATTGGAAGTAGAAAAGATAATATATGATGAAACTTGTCATGGAAACACAAAAAATACTTGCACTAGTAGTCAAAGGTGATTAAACTTCTGAACTCCTCACAAGCTTAGGCGATCATTGATTCAAGGAATGCATTCAATAAATTAAAAAAAAATAATGCGTATATATAGATATATATACACACAGACATACAATTATACAAGATTTTGGACAGTTATTAAACATAAAATGATCATAACATCAGGTACTATACAAATGGAGACAAAAACAACATAACATAGAAAGTACTATATTCAACTTTTATGTAAGAACAAAAAGTATTATGCTAGAAACAAAATATAAAAGTACACAATAATTGACAGAAACAGTACTAAACCAACACAATCTATTTCAAACATTTCAACAGAATTCAGAAAAAATAAATTACTTTAGCATGATAAAAATAATTTTTTTTTTTTTTAAAAGTAATATTAAATCCAAATAAATTCAGAATTAAGGTAGCTTTATACTAAAATCAACGATTTAATTATAATATGATAATTTGAAATATAAATGAGATAACACTTTAGGCTCTTGATATAGTTGAACTGACTGTTAGTAAAAATTAGGAATGCTAAAGCAGTTAACTGCGACCAACCCCTCTTTTAACCTGCTACTGTACAATTTAGATCATTTCTTGTCAGAATTTTTCTTATTTGTGTAGTAAGTTAACAAGGAGCGAGTATTTTTCATTAATCAATCATCTTAAAATGTGTCTTTAATAATATGGAAGTGGAGATAGGAACTCCGTCCTACAGTTCAGTTTTTTTTTTTATCTGACTTATCACTAGACAGAGTGTGTAGCTGGATTTTTAAACAAAAAATAAGCACCTTTTAAGCACTCAAAAAACTTTCCAAAAAAAAAAATCTTAATTAGGATATGTGCAGTCATAAATATTTTTTTTCCTTCCTATCATTGAAAGTTTTTAGTTTATAAACATAAAATCAATAAAATTCAGAACTATTTTCAAAAACTTTTCATAATCAGGATGCGTAATCACAACTAGTTTCAGATTAATATTGCAGAGAAAATTGTGAAAATCATGCATTTATTTATAATTTAGAACAGTCAACACGGCAAAGAAAAAATCTCTTTTTAAAAGATAAAAAATAAGCACTCTTCACAAATCCCGAATAATAAAAAAAGCCCCCTTTTAAAAAACGTAAATAAAAAAACAAGCACCTTTAAGCAAGCTTTTCAAGAGTGCTATGCACCTTGCTAGACCAGATGTTAAGAGCTTATTTTACTTTAAATCAACAGTTAGGTGAATAGAGCAATGGGAAAAAAGAGGGGTGGGGGGAACTAAATTTGTCTGAAGTATGAAAATTAATTATGCAGTCAGATAAAGATTTTCTTAGTTCAGATCTCTACAGACTCCACGAAATAGTAAAAATATCAAAATTTTAAATAAGCTGTTATAAGTGTAGAATTTTATTGGAATGTTTTTTTCAAGAGTTTTTTTTTTTTTTAATCATACAATTTTTATGTATGCTTTAAATTTAAAAAATAATTTCAGCACTTAAAAGAATAATCTGCGTTGAATAGAACCTCATATTCAATTATTTGATAAGTGTCCCACTATGTTTACATCCAAGAAATATTGGAAATGGACATACATGAAATGAGGGAAAAATCAAATACATTCGGTAAAAATAATGTTTGTTGAATTTTCATTTTTACAATTATAAGAAATAAATTTTTGTAATAAAAAAGAAAAAGTAATTTTGAGTTATATTTTCAAATCGAATAAATGAAAAAGAAAATTTTTCTTATAATGCTATAAAACAATTTTATTAATAACTTATAATAAATGATACATGAATTTACTTAGTAAATTATTATTTTTCTATTCAATTGTTTATTGAGCTATTATATTATTATTACACAAAAAAATAAGAAGCCAGTACAAAAGAAACTTGACTGAGTGTATTTAATTATTAAGAGATTATTTAGATATTATACAAAATTTTACGCAGAGTAAAATTTACGAAATTTTATTTTATTGCCTACTGTCTTTTTTTAAATTTAAATAAAAACTGGCGAGAAAGTGGCAGAAAAAATTCAAAAAAATTATCAATTGATTTAAAAAAAAAATTGATTTAATTGCTTACTAAGTTTGAAAGACTATTTCATTAAAGCAGACAGACAAGAAAAATTTGACTTACAATTTTAAAAACACTTCCAAAGTATAAAATTCATGCTCAAATAGTCTTTTTTCATTTGACTGATTCTTATCTGTTCTTTTTGTACAAATGAGTTACCAGTGTTGCCACACAAATCTGGAAATCTGACCGCAGTTTAGTACAGCTGAAATATTATCCTTAAATATCGCACAGATTGCCCTTTGAGTGGCCACCACTTTTAAAAGATGAAAATAAAAAAATTAAATTCCCTGTGTTTTCCCAGTTTGTAAGGAAAAACTGGAAATTCTTTTATTTTAGGTGAATTTGAAATTCTCTGTATCAGGGGTGATTGTGACAGGAAGTGAAAAACCCTGAAAATTTTATGAGCAAAAACGAGATATCAATTTATAGACTATTCGTATTTAATATAATTTTTTGAACTAGGATTTAGAATTAAATTATCTTTCAGTAAAACACACTTTTATTGTAACAAATTGAAGAAAAAATATAGTTCTTACAAGAATCGCGATATTCGATTTTAAGAACGTGCAATCAAAAATAATGATATTGGATTTTAAAATAGCATGAATAAGAATCGCAATATTGCATTTAGGAGGGTGATAATAAAAATCGTAACTTCGGATGTTTATAATGTGTAAATACAAATCGCAATGCGCGATTTTTAGATACTGTGAATACGACTAGCGACACTGGATCTTAAATTCGAATGAATAGGAATCACGATGCTGAATTAAAAAACGCGTAAGTACAAATTGAAATGTTGGATTTTTAAATCGCCTGAATAAGATTCACAATGAATGCTTTAAATCAGGTAAACAGGAAAATTGACATTCAATATTAAAATCAAGTGGATATTAATCGCTATATTAGAGGATTCCGGTGTAGTTTTAAATATTAGAAAGATAAAAGTCTGACAAATGAAAGAAAAAAAAAATTTCAAAATTGCAGAAGAGTCACTCGTTTTGTTAATGCAATGTAGCGAAGGTTTCAAAATTTAAATTTTAGATTGCAGTAAAATTTTGTTGGATTATAAGCTTTGATTCGCGGTAGTCTGCGCAACAATATTCTTGATATATGTGGAATTTTGCAAAAAATCACACGCCCTGCTCCTAGAACTCTAGACAGATGATACAAAAACCCTGAAAAACAATCCCCCCCTGTATTTTCTAGGCTTTTCTTTGTGAAATGGCAACACTGGTTACATAAACATTGCTTCAGCACACATGAGTAGTATATCATAAAAAGTAGAATAGAATGTACAAAAGAAAAGGACAAAAAAAAAATCATAAGTAAAATTCACTCAGTTTCGTATTGAATAACAATAAATGAAATATCAAAAAACTCCTTGTTGAATCAACTGTTTTTATGTTCTCCATTCTAAAAATGGAAAAAAAAGAACTGGTTCTTAATAAATATGGAAGTTTCTAGAAATGGAATCATCACACTTCATCAGGCATCAGATGTTTTTCCCCATGATTGTTAGTGTGGGTCTTTTTTAGAACGTTCATTCCGCTCATTCTGCTTTCGAACTTCTTCTCGAGATCGTAGATACGAACCTCGTGTTTCTGGATAGTAAGCTTCAGTTTTTTCACTTCTTCTAAGAGTTCCTCCACACTCTGCTTCTGCAACAAAAGTTGATTCTCAACGAGGGTGACAGTAAACATTAAGAAAATTCCCCCCCGATTCTTCGGAAAGTTTTTTAAAAAAAAATATCCAATATTTTTTAATTTTGTCATTGTCGACATAAATTTAATGAATTATATATTTGAGAGTGGCAATAAACATTCAGAATCCCCCGCGGACTCATTCAGACTGTTCTTTTTACATCCAATGTTTCTGATTTTTGTCGTTGTCGACGTAATTTTAGTTATTGACTTTTCCGTTACGCCGTATTCCGATCGTGGTTTCTATTTAGTCAAAACTACTAGATAGTCAGTTTGCATTAAAAAATAAACTTTTATTAAACCAAAATTTCAAATTATTTCTTTTTTTTTCTCTCTATTTTTTGGGGGAATTTTAATTAAATTCTCTGATATTTTCAGAAATTTTTACTGTTCTACAGCCATCATGCCAATCTTTCCTCCTTTCAATCAAACAAAAATGTAAAACCAATTTTACAGAATAATCCATTTTTCTAATATACACCATAATCTCTTTTTTTATACTATCTTTTCTTGTTGACAATGAATAAAAATGACTACATTTGGATAAATTCTTGAAATGTATATTTGTCATCCTTTTAATTCATTCAAATAATTAATAAATACAGATGAATTAAATATATAGGCTTGAAAAAATAAACTTTTCTTTTTAATATTCAATAAATCTTCCTCTTTTTAATAATTTAAATATTTATTCTGAAACTTATACATTGAATATTTAAGTTTAGGCAAACCAGAATGGCTACACTCTAGAAAAAAACAAACAAATTTCCTGACATTTCCAGAGCAAAATTCTAAAATGTTTACAGACAAATTTTGCTTAAAATTAAAGTGATTTTAATCACATTTTAAAAATGTATCTACAAATTTAAGAATTTAAAATAAATGCTAAACAATAAAAATAATTAAATGCTACGAAGTAAAATAGTTTTTTACAACCTGAATTTCCTTATTATCTCATATCTATAAATTTCATAATAATTAACACACACGTGTATCTATCTTTATATATAAAGTATTTTTTTTTTTTTTTATAAATTCATTCTTAAATTTATTTTAAGTTGAAGATGGATATGAATTGATTTCATTTTAAAAAAGTTAAATGGAAATAATTATCTGGAATTACTAATTAAAACAGCATTGCTGACAAAAAATTAATTGATAGTTCAACTGGATAAGTATTTATGAGATATATTTGGTTATATAAAACAATTTTAATGCCTATTAATCTTGTCTTTTAAAGAAAAAAAAAATCTGATATCAGGCTATAATTCTGACCATGAATTTGTTAACCAGGATCTGGTCAAATTGACAAAGTTACATCACTATTAAATTCCTCAAACAAAATGTTTCAAAATAAATGTTTATCACATAATATAGAAAATTTCGTTCAAAATTAATTTCAGTTTAGAATTTTTTTTTTGAATAATAATAATAATAATGATAAAAAAAAAATGAATTGCTTAAATGTTCTTTTGAATATGCAACCATAAAACGAAACTTTAATGCTCAACAACAATAAAAAAATAAATAAAATAGAAATATTTTGGATAATTTTACAAAATCTAATTTTGTTTTTAAGACACACACAAAAAAAAGATACATTTATCTTAAGCTTAAATCTTAAAATTTTAACAAAATCAGTTCACAAAAATCTGGCAGAATAAAATCAAAAACTCATTTATCGTTCTATTATACAAATTATAAAATGGTTCATTTTAAATTAAATAAAAGAGGTTCTTACATTAGTCTGTGTAACAGGATTATTACTATTTTTCTTGGGCATGTTGTCAAGAATGTTGGGTCTTGAAAGTTTGAGCTCTGGCTTTTTCGAAGGCACATATCCCTCTTTTAGTGATATCTAGGGGGAAAAAAAATAAGTGACATTTATAAAAATATTCCTTTAATTAAGTAAATTATAATAATAAATACTGTGCAATTATCATCTGTCACTGAAAAATTCATTTGGAAAAAAAAAAAACTATTTAGATAAGGAAAAAGGAAGAAAAAAAGTTTTTTTCTTACTATTCACGATTGCAACGCTTGAACACGCCCTCTAGCGGGTAGTATATTTTCAGGCTTTTATTTATAAGTTATCCTTTAGTTCTATCAGAAACATTATTGGCAGAGTAAGATGCCATTTTTTTAAAGCAGCAAATAAAAAAAAATAAAAAAATAAAAAAACTAGAACATTTGTAAATCTTTCTGAAACAGAACGCGCCCAACATTTGAAGAGCAATTTCTCAATAATTTTTACCCTTCTATTATTAACAAGCTTGCAACCGATAACTTCCGATTTCGTGATCGCATACTGTTACAGATGTGTGTATTACGGTAAAATTTTACGGTTTTTTATTTTGTCTTTAATTCATTACAAATTAAAGTGAAGTCAACATTGCTTACTTGCATTACAATGAATAAATGTGCTTTCAGAAAGTGCAGAACTGCAATAGCTACAGAACATTCTTCTTCCTTATAGAATAGTATATATTTCTGAATCGTTAAACAACAATAAAGAATCATCTGAATTGCTTGAAATAGTATCATTTGTGCTGATTATTAATAATTTTTTTATCATTTCCTTGTTAAGTATTTTTTAATTTTGAATGAATAATTTCAAATAGAATTCAGCTATTCCGTTTTTAAGTTACATATAAAAATTCATATCGAGATCTTACAATTGTAAAATTTTGTTGTATGGTAAGTCATCTAAAAGTAATGAAGGCATTATTTACAAATATATTTTTTAAAATAAAAACTTCAAAGGAAGAATATTTCATTCGGAATTCTCCAGATGTATAAAGCAAGTAAGTGTTCTGATTTTTATATTAAAAAATGTACTTGTAAAAAAAATTTTTTCTTCTAATTTGATGATAGTTCTCTACAGAATGGTTTTCTACGTCTGATTAAGAACTTTAAGACTAGAAAAAAAGAAACAATATGAAAGTTTTTTATTTCAATATGAGGAATTTTTAGAATCGTTTTTCTTTTAAATTATTTTCTTTATCGCAAGCATTCTTTATTTTACGTTTTTTACTTTATAAATAATGAATTTCTTTTGAAACTTAACATTTATTGATAATAATTGTTGTCAAAAAACTTTTTTTTGCAAAATTAAATGGTATAACATAATGTGCTTCTGTTAACTTTTTGCATGATTTTAATGTTGGAAGTAATATGATACAGAAACGAATGGGGTGTAAAATTTAAATGGACCTTTCACACTAGATCATTAAGTTTAGTAGAACGGTTTCTCAGCTACACTGAAGAAATCTCTAGTGCAACTGATGATCCTGTTGTTCTGCTAGCAGGAATTCATCTTAAATAACAATGTCCCGTATAGGTAATTGTGTTTGCGAATAGAAATTATTTTTTTTTTAAAAAAAAAGTGTTGATTATGAACATAGTTGGGAAACAAATCAAAGAGCCCGATTTTACAACCAAAATATTGTTACACCTAGTGGATAATTTAGATCCATAAAGAGTGCTTTATAATATAGATTTGTTTAATCTGCATCAAATTAATAAAAATCCTTTAAAATGCTTAGTAGATGTGAAATGATTGACATAACACATTAAAAGCATAACACTTCATGCTTAAAAGTTTGTGTTAGATTTTCTACTGTTTCCAAATAATTATCAGAAACTGATTGACATGAAATATCATACCTGCCAACATTGGAGAAGTAAAAAAACAGAGATTTTACTATACAAGTTAAGGTTTGATACATCATATATAATCATGTAAGTCAAAAAGAGAAATTCAAAATTTGAAATATTATAAACACATACATTTAGAGAAGCAAAAAATATGTATATCGATCTTAATCTTAAGATTTTTTTAAACGATTATTTATAAGCATCATTCCCAATTTTTTTTTTCGTTTACGAATACTAATGTTTTACTCCATAGCCTTGTAGTTTTGAACCCAATCCAGAAGACAAGGAAACTCTTAGATCAAGTATTGGGATATATTTGCCTTTGTGGAGGACTCTTTTTTACAAGTATTTGCCTCTTTTGCGTTACATGGAGAGGAAAACCTCCCACGGCTAGCCTGACAGCAAAGGGGATTCTAACCCATGATCCATCTATCACTGAGGATATTTCACATGAGCACGGTGTTGGGTGCAAGCCGAATGCAGAATTCGTATCGACCTGCCATGGCTGGGATTCGACCCAAGTTCACCTCATTGGAAGGTGAACGCTCTATCCACTAAGCCATCATGGCTCTAGGCGTGGTATTACCTTTTCCAGCTCTTGTGCCAGTATGCCAAAGTACAGGCAATAGCACCATCTGTTGAGGAATAAGAGAAGTATTTTTGCCATCAGCAGGCATTCCCCAAAAAATAATTTTTGAACTCTTTGACTATGGATTTTAAAAAATGATTTTTTTGTCATGTTTATTATTCAAAAGGACAAAATAGGTGACAAATAAGGCAAATTTATTATTTGGGATTTTTCTGACAAGTGGTTATCAATTTAGAGGCTGGGACATATATGTCCCGGCCGTACTTAGTGGTGGGATACATATGTCCATTAGTAATTTTTAAACATTTGTGGGGACAAATGAGTCCCGTTAGTAGTCAAAGGGTTAAATTTCTTTAACAAATAGGGAGAAATTTGAGAATATATGGGTAAACAGAAGTTAATTGTAAAACACACGAATTTTCGTTAAAACGTAGGAGACTTGACAGGTATGTAATATGCACTTTACAAAATGAATGATTGTGGAAACTCACCAAAATGGGGTCGGCATCTTTTCCGCTGATCCATTCATCAGCTGAGAGAGCAGGAATGTCAGCAAGGGTATCTGGATAGAGGTCATCTTGGAAGAGGTCAGACTAAAAAATAAGAGTTACTTGTTTTAAACATTCCCCATTCAATTACAGAAATAAAATTCCAGACCACATTTTAACTATACACAGCACTTTTTAGCCAAAAATGAAAAATATATAATGGAAACAATTCTATGCTAATGCATTTTTTCATATTTCTTAAGAAATACTTAAAGAACAATTTTATAAAGAATCATAATACTATTTTAAGGGCATTATTTCATTTTTCTTAACCTCTTCTGGAAGACAGAACAAACATAAATTTGCATTTAGAGTAGGGGTGTACAACATTTTTGAGTGGAGGGCCACTTGCACACCAGGTAGATTAACATAAATAGTCATCACTGGGATTTGAGATGAAATCTGCATAAATAATGCGAGACAAAAATATCAAATTCAAAAATCTTAATATCGTATTAAAAGCTTTTAAAAATAAAAAACCATGCAAAATTCTGAAGCAATCACGATGGAAAAAGCGACCCAGAAACAAATTTACAATAGAATATATATTAACACTAAGCATACCATAACCAGTCAAATGACCGTTTAAGAACTTTTGCATCAAAAATGCGCTCATCACATCTAACTTTATGACTTTTTCTAACAATTATATACAGTTAATATTCTTTTTTTTTTGTGTGCATTTTCTGTGTTTCAAATACTAGTATTATATCTATTTCTACCACAACCAGTCATTTGACCAGAAAAAAAATTTATTGCTTTATAAGGGTAAGGGTTAAGAAATTAAGATGTAATGCGTGTTCAACGTATTGCATTCGATGTGTTGCACACTTCTGCAAAGACTGTTGCATGGTTTGTTCTATCAGTATATCTGTGAATTGAAATTTCAAGAACGTACTTAAAATTTTAGATCGGCATTTTTGCGTAAGAAAAAGTGACAAAAACTAAATGTTTTGGTAAGTAGTTTATATTTTACTTGGATAGCTTTACTTCATATCTAATTAGCTGTCAGCGTCTACCTACAGGGCCGGATTAACCTATAGGCACACTAGGCACGTGCCTAGGGCCTACGAAAAACTTGGGAGAAAAAAATTTGTTGACAAAAATAATTTAGCTTTAAAAACAACAANAATTATAGAAATAATAATAATTAGAAGAAATATGTTTGCGGAAAATGCACAATGGAAAGACCCTGTATATGTAAAAAATGCGTTGAGCAAAGAAATTCTTATTCTTTGCGTTTGTAATTCATAAAAATTGGCAATATACAATCTTGTTTAACTACAATAAAGTTCTTTTTAAGTTTATTTCCTTCCTAACATCCATATTTCATACATTCAATCAAGAAACATAACATCCGGTCATTTGACCGGCTATAGTAGAAATAGGTATAGATTAAGTGTTGGTATGTTTAGTGTTAACTGGGCCCGTCAGAAAGTGATAAATCAAATGTGCGCTTAAAAATTTTCGAAATGTTTTTAATTTTCTTCTTTTTATTGTGCACAAATGCTTTTGTGGGCTNGCATATATTTTGAAAAGAGGGGAGGAGTGGGGGAAGGAGGGGAGGGCCCAAAAACGGCTATGCCTAGGGCCCACGAAAGGTATAATCCGGCTCTGTCTACCCAGAAAAATGTCGAAACAATCAAGACAGCACAAGTTCTTAGAAGAAATAATATTAATTATAAGAATAATTATATGAATTATAATTCTTATAAATATAAGAATTATAGAAATAATAACAATTAGAAGAAATATGTTTGCGGAAAATGCACAATGGAAACACCCTGTACATGTAAAAAATGCGTTGAGCAATGAAATTCTTATTTTTTGCGTTTGTAATTCATAAAAATTGGCAATATACAATCTTGTTTAACTACAATAAAGTTCTTTTTAAGTTTATTTCCTTCCTAACATCCATATTTCATACATTCAATCAAGAAACATCAAATCACTTGACCGGCTATGGTAGGAATAGATATAGATTAAGTGTTGGTATGTTTAGAGTTAACTGGGCCCGTCAGAAAGTGATAAATCAAATGTGCGCTTAAAAATTTCCGAAATGTTTTTAATTTTCTTCTTCTTATTGTGCACAAAAGCTTTTGTGGGCTGTAGATTAACAGTTGGCAGGCAACATGTGGCCCACAGGTCGTGCTCCCTTAACATATAAGAATAAAATATTAAAGACAAATGTGGTGATGTATAGTTCATCACCACACACATTAAGATAAGAATAAAAATGAATAACAATTAAAAATAATATACTCTTAAGTAAGAGAACAAGATCATTAGAATGATCACTAATTGCAAGATGTTAAAACTATTTATTTAATATAGATTATTTAAGATATTCTAGAGTTAAAAATTTTGTTCCAGGAAGGCATTCACTCCAATTAATAATAGGTACATAAAAAAAATTAACATGTAATTATACATTATGAAGCTGCACTGCTAATTACTAAAAAATAAAAAATAATTATTGGATGATAGAAAACTTTATAATATAACTTAGCTGTTGAGGATCCTCATTATTTTTGTATCTTAACCTCAGCTCTCCAAAAACATGTGTCCTTGCATTTTTTCTCACCTCCTCTAAGCAAGCCCCCAAAGCATACTCAACTCTTATTGGCTGTTACCACCATCACAAAATAAGTAGGGCTATACTTGCTATTTCTTTTTTATTTTTATTTTTGGCTAAATTATTTAAGGGCAGAAAAGGGCAGGTGAAAACTTATGAAAGAGAAACTAAAACTTCAAAGTAATTATAGCAGTGCAGCAAAGATAAAAGTAACAAAACATCATAAAAGCAATACCACATATATATAAAAGTAACAAAACATCATAAAAGCAATACCACACAAAATGAAAATGCTGTTATACAAAACTAGTATTTACTTTTCTTGGCACAGTAAATGGAATAACTTCACAAAGTCCTCGGGAATGCAGCTTAAAAAATCTACAAGTGCAAAAAGATATAGTTACATTTCTGTTAGTAACAATGCGTACAGGTACAACAGAAGCAAATAAACCTGACTCATAATTAGTATTCATTTAATTTGATAGTTAGTGATTAAAATTGTTATTTCTTTGCTTGACTCCCTGTGGCAGAATTTTTTCAGACTTTCTGCGACAAACTTCCCCAGTACTAATATTTCCCTTAAAGATACTTTTAATTACAACAATTACTAATTTAAACTAACAGAAACGTTGTGTTTACAGAAGAAAGTACAGAATTAAAATGTAAGAAAAATTTTAATTGTAAAAGTAATATTTTTTAAATTCTAATATTAAAGAAAAATTCCTCGCATTTTGTAGGCAAAAATAATGCACTAATTATTTCCACTTTCGAATTTTGTAAATCATCACCTAGATTGAAATTAGTTAATAAATTAAATGATAACATTCGTACATAAAATAAAAATCGCAAAATCTATGCAGTAACTCCCAAAATGAAGGTCGCAAGTCTCTCTTTAAAAGAGATACTCTAATAAAATATTTGTAAAATATGGTGTTCTTTAAAGAAAAAAAAAATCATTTCTAAAGAGAACTATCTTTGAAACTTTCGCGATTTCTGAATTTTTTATTTTATATTATTAATTTGAAAATCCAGCTGAAGCCAGTCATTACAGATTTTTAAAAAAAATGTGAATAGAAAAATCATGATTATTTCCTTCCTTTCTGATGAGCAAGAAAGGCATCTTTGGGGGGGGGGACATTTTTCGAAAAATTACACAGAAGGGAAAACCAAAATTTTTCTTTTACCAAATGAAAAATCTTTCTGCAAAAACGTTGTAATGTCCTGCGGCAATGTTGCTGCAATTCTGCTATGGAGCATTGACTTTATACAAATATCTGAATCCTTATTAGAACAAAACTCTAAAGTATGCAATAAAAAAAGGCTTTTAAGGATCTTCTTGGGCTAACCGTGAGAGGTTTTNGACATTTTTCGAAAAATTACACAGAAGGGAAAACCAAAATTTTTTCTTTTACCAAATGAAAAATCTTTCTGCAAAAACGTTGTAATGTTCTGCGGCAATGTTGCCGCAATTCTGCTATGGAGCATTGACTTTATACAAATATCTGAATCTTTATTAGAACAAAACTCTAAAGTATGCAATAAAAAAAGGCTTTTAAGGATCTTCTTGGGCTAACCGTGAGAGGTTTTCCTCTCCATGCAAAGTAAATGCAGGATAGTTCACTGAAAAAGTCCTCCACAAAGACAAATTTGTTCCAATGCCTAATAGAGGAGTTCACTTGTTTTCTGGGCTGAGTTCAAAATTACAAGTCTACTATGTTAAACTTAAAATTATGTTTTCTGTTTAACCCATTTTAAGCTAAGCATAAAATTTTTATAAAATATGACATTATTTTCATTGAAATAAGCTTACATTACATTACAGACACAAAAAAAATTCTTGTTTGAAAAATTATATATTTAAGAAATAAAATTGTGCATATAGGCACCACTCACCAAATCAATGAACAAACCATTTAGATGAGCGCTTTTTTTTTCTTCCACGAAATTTTTTTATTTTTTATTTACTGACTTGCAATTTTAATCTATCATAAAAACATATTAAACATTTCAAAAGGGATATTTGAATAGTGTAAAAATTTCTGAACAGAAAATGTTTACTGCAATTGAATTCCTAATAATTTATGGATGTCTTCAGAACCCTTGACAATAGCAGAAAAATAAAATTAGAGAAAAATATAAGTCACAATGTTAATAAAAAAATATTGAAATAGAGCGTTTGTGCACCTTTGGCCAAAAATGGATTTTCACAAGATATGTATATAAATTTTTTTTAAGTCAGTCATACTGAAAATCTACTTTAATAAAAAACTAAGAAAAATACGCAAAATTTAGATTAAAAAGAAAAGGCAATAGGACAATATATATATAATAGACATAAGTATAGAATACAATACAATAGATGTTACCTAGCTATCTCACAATTCCGAACATCACAACCTCGTTTTGGCATCATACCCATTCCCCGTTGGGGCTCACTGGACTGATAGGTACTAATGTAATGGATATACGGTGATTCTTCAGTTATTTCAAAATAACGTACATTACTGTCACCCTGCACATGGAAAAAACATTTACTACAAAAATATGTACTACTTTGTACACATTGATTGATTAAAATGGAGTTTTTACCTTTGCACATAAATACAAAAGATTGACATCTGGGTCATAGAATGGATACAACACGCCATTAGATGTATCTAAGGTTTCCAATACTATAGGTTCAGATAGAGCACTCTGAAATGAAATAAGAGAGATAATATTTTGGTTTTGAACTGAGTTTGGGCTATGGAGAAAAAGAACACAGAAAGTTTCTTTTCATTATAAGAATCTTCTAAAATAAAACGAATTTTTTTCTTATATTAACTTTTATTTTCCAAAAATATTCTGAAAAACTTATTGTACTGAAGAAGCTATTTTGTTCATTTTTTGTGGCAACCCTGCCATGGAAAAATTTTTGGTTGGAAAAAATTCCTACAGTATTTTTTGTTAAACTTGTTGCGTTGCAAATTTTTTCATGTTAACTAAAACATATCTCCATTTGTGTATTTATTAGTATGAATCCCTTTAGTTAATAAGTGGATCTTAAATTAAGTTAATAAATTATTACCATCTCAAAATATTTTGATTCTTAAAATTTTTATAAAACATATGCTTCATAAAACATTTATTAAACTATCTTCTAAAAACAAACGAACTTTATTTTCCAAAAATATTTTTAAAAAGTTATTGTACTGAAAAAGAAAAAAAAAATTTTTTTTTTTGGAGAAATTTTGATTTAAAAAGAAACTTGGTTCATAGAGAATATTAGGGTCTGAGAAATTTCTGCGCTCCTGCTTATATGTACGTGAATACTTAAAATATTAGTGAACTAATGTTAATCATATTAATGAAAAATTTGATCACTGATTATAATTTATAAAAATATAAATCCTTGTTTAAAAGAGTTAATAATTTTTTACTATCAATCAATTCAAGGTTTTAATTAAATTGCTATTAGCATTTAGTACAGTTATTGGAATAGATTTCTTAATTACATGGTATTTTGTTACGTTCTAATAGTTTAAGTACATCTAGTTTCAATAACTGTTAGTAGTAGTACAATGACTTTTGCGAAATATTTTGGGAAAATAAAGTTTATATAATTAGAAAATTCAATTAATTTTAGAAAATTCTTGAATAAACATGCATATGTTTCATAGAACAATAGAAATCTAGATATTTTGAAATAGTAATAATTTATTAAATTAATTTAAGATATTTTTCTAAACATCAATTTGACAGCGCCCAGAACACTTAACATGGCTGGCAAGTGTTTGATAATTGACAGTTTTAGACATCAGGTCGTAAAATCCTTTTTGACAATTGTCAAAAAGTAAGAGCTATAGTATAAGAATAATTATTAGATATTATATAAAGTGTAAGGATATTATTAGATATTATATTATCGTCAAAAACAAAAATTTTGGTGTAGAAAATATTAAACAATTATAAATAAAAAAGGGTAAAATTGAAAGTTATCAAATCTGTTAAATTAATAAAAATACAAAAACAATAAGCTTAATAAAATAACACTCAACTATCATCTTATTCATTACATATATATAAAATTTTCCTTTTTTCCCATTTTAACTCTTTTCCCTAAAGCATGCAATTAAAAAAAAAGAAAGTTTTTAAGCCCTCCGTACTTCAAGTTCATTTTTTCAGTTTTCTAAGAATAAGACTGAAATTCATAACTTTTCTTTCGATTTATGCTTAGCTGCAAACTTTGGAAAGTAGATGTACTAAAACAATTATAACAAAACAAAATAACATGAAACTAAAAAATTTATTCTAACAATTGTACTAAATGCTAATAGCAATTTAATCAAAACCTTGAATTGAAAAATTATTAACTCTTTTAAACAAACAATTATATTTTTATAAATTATAATCAGTTCACTAATCAGTGAATGAATTTTACATTAATATAATTAACATTAGTTCACTAATATTTTAAATATCCATGTACATATTATAAGCAGGAGTGCAGAATACACAATTCACATAGGTTTTTTTCAACAAGAAAAAATATTGCAAAGCAACAAGTTTTTTAACAAAAATTTTCCTACAGCAGAGTTGCCACAGAAAAAATGAACAAAATAGTTGCTTTTAGTAGCCTAAAGCATGAAAATAGTTGCTTAAATAAGTAAAAAAATTTCACAATAAAATGACTAAAATATTATTAAATGACTTAATTGCCATATACCATGATCTATTTAGTAAAGTTGGTGCCAAATACAGGGTTCATACAGAGATAAAAAATCCAAGGAGTCCAAAATTTAAAAACTTTGCGTAAAAGATAATTAGGCAGTTTTTTTTAAAAATCAAACAGCAGTTACTATAAAGAATTTGCAAAAATGCATATTTTGCATAGGATATTTTTTCCTAGCCTTTTTGAAATGAATGTTGACTTTGTCAAACTTCATCAAGAAAAATAAATATATCTTGTAAATAATCTTGATAATAAATAATCTTTGCAATCTTGTAAATAATCTTTTAATAAATCTTGTAAAAGTACATAGTACAAATGTTAAAGATTCATAAAAACCTATCAATCTTACATTTTTAAATTTGAATTCATAAAATCTAAGGCATTTTATTAAAAAAAAAAAAAAACAGTAAATCATTAGTTAAGTTTGCTTGTAACATGCAAAATTAAAATTATTTGCTTTTACTTTTTTCTGCTAACTCTTGCGATTCAATTTTTTTCTTTTAAAGTTTCTCTTAAACTATCAGATTTTGACAGCTAAGTCATATCTAAGTCATATTTTAGTTCCCCTGCTTGGACAGCTAATTCATCAGCGGACTTAGTAAGTTCATCTATACAACACAATAATCTAAGGAGTTTCTAAGGAGTCTGTACGAACCCTGGGCAAATATAATAGTTTTTATATAAACGTTAGCGTACTAGCACTAAATTTTTTTTATCAAAAAAATAAGTATATTTGAAGAAAGTTAAACACTACTAGCATTCAATCAAAAAATACTGTTTCATTTTTAAAAAAAAACATACTTTTTCTAAAAAATGTTCCCTTTTATCAATTATTGATTTCACAAAGATGTTTATATATATATAAATATTGTGAAAAGTTATTACCCACATTAGAAATTCAGGAATCGTAATATCGTACAAAAAATTGTCTTTTTTAAAAAAAAAAAAAACCATGCAGAATTTCTTAGCAATAATCCTTGAAAAGGCATTTGAGAAACAAAATAGACTTACAACGGAATCTGCGCAAAATTTAGAGCATTAAAAAGAGGTGATTCAGAGCAGAAAATTCAAAATTTCCTAAATTTTTCATATTTGAAGAAAAATATTTTTCCTCATGTTGAGAAGCTCCCATGGGTCTCTGATTGTCTACCCAATTTATGTTAAAAAAAACATCACTAACAGCACAGAAAAGTCCTCCAATAGTCTTTTCCTGAAAACAGTTGCTTCTTTTTAGCCCTCTCGGGCAAGAAAAGTTGCCATAGTCACCTCAGGCCGAAAAAAGTTGATTGTTCTCGTTCCTCAGAGGGGCAGGCAGATAAAATACCGATTTCTGACGTTCCTTTTGTTTTTTTGTCACGTGAATTTGATAGCTCGTCTGTACAACTATCACGCATATGCGTAGTAAATTTCATCAATTTCTGACATTCATGATAAACATTAGTGTAACATAGTTTAACATATCAATACAAATTTTAACCTCTTGAAAAATGTAAAATAGATATAACTTAAACAACAAATGTTGCACAATATGAGATAATAGTACATACAAATCCATAGCTGCCAACATGGCTGGGAAAAAATTTGGTAGATTTTAAGAAATAATACAAATTTTATAATGTGCAAAATATTTTACACTTAGGGAATTTCAGGGATTTTTATAGTCATCAAAATAGAAAAACTAAAATAAATTCTAGTTAAGATTGACATTTGACATACTTGAAATGTTATGCATTATGTTTACTCATGATTTCAAATATTAATAGGCATTTAATTCATCAAACATAGTTAAAAAGATTTTTTTAATTATTTTAAAAATAGAAAAATAAACTGAATATTTTAGAACAAAAAAAAGTTTTTAACTGATTTCTACAAATAATGCTTGATTATGTATTAGTAACACTTATTTAAATATTCAAGCAAGCAATAATCTGCACAAAAATTCTATTTCAATAGGGATTTTTAAAGGAAATTGCAGGGAATTTTTAAAATGTAAAAAAACAAGGATAATTTTAATTAAACCAGTAGGACCAGGAGAAACTGTCAAAATCCATTAAAGTTGGCAACTATGCAAATCCATTCAAATCAACAATTTTATCCAAAAATAATATTTCAAAACATTTTTAATCCTTAATCACAATAACTGTAACAATAAAGAAGAAAATAAGGAACCTCTTTTCGAAGGGCATATTGTCTTTCACTCATCCTTGAGAAACCAACAGTTAACAAATGGCCATTCCTTAAGTAAACTGCTTTCTGAGGTTTTGCTCCCTCATGACCTATAGCTTCCTATTATTGTAAAAAAGCATACTATTATATTTCTACAATAAATAATTTCAAAAATTCTTTTTCTTAGTATAACAATCACAGAGGTGATTGTGACACAAAGCAAAAAAAAACCCTGAAAATTTGCAAAAATTCAATAACAAGATATCAATTTATTATATATTATTCATGTATAATATAATTTTTTGAACTAAGATTTATAATTAAATTACCTATCAATAAAGAATAACATAATTTAATAGTAATGAATTTAAGTAAGATACTTAGTTCTTACTAGAATCGCGATATTAGATTTACAAAACGCGAAAATACAAAACACATGCCCTATATAGCTTCCTATTATTTTTTTTATTATTCCAATAAACTAATTTTTTTTTTGTTTAGATAGAGCTATATGTAAAAAATTATCACTGGCGTTATTTTTAAAATATGTGAAAAACTGAATCACTTACAGAAAAATTTAAAACAACGACTAACGCTTAACCCCTCAGAAAATTCCATTTCGTTTTTCGCTCATCCCTATTTAATGAATGAAATAATACTTGAAAAAAACTGTATTAAAATCAAGTGTTATCCACTATGTGTATTGAACTTGAATAAAAAGTAATTTATTAACGATTGAAAAGATATATAAATATATACATAGGGAGAGTAAGAACAAATAGTAGAAATTGAATAAGGGTACATTGTGATATTAGTCTTTTTTTTATAACAATAGGAAATAAATTAATTTATAATTTCATTTTTGTGCCTAAAAAAGTTCCCAAATTTTTCCAAACTTAAAGGATCATTATCATCAGTTAGTATAAATGCTAATTTACAATAAATGAGATATTTAACTTTTAGTTACATAAAAATTAATTAAGTTCATTTCAATTTCTTTTTAGAGTTAAATAAAGTTTTTTTTAGAGTTTAGGGTTAAATAAAAATGTCCAGAATTTTCATTGCTCTCCAAGTAATCCGCCAACCTTTTGATTTTACTTTATATTTTATAGCTGACGTTGAACAGCCGACCCAAGTTTTGGGTTTACGACTACTAATGTTCAACTCCATAGTCTTGTAATTTTGAACCCATTCCAGAACACAAGGAAACCCCTGGATCAATACTCCCAGAGATATGATTTGTTATGGGAACATGGAGGACTTTGTGACTCGGCAGATTTAGTGTGCACCAGTCACCATTTACTACACGGGGAGTCTTCGGCCGGCAGGGATCGAACCCACGACCTCTTGGACATGGGCCCAGTGCCCNAAAAAAAAAAAAAAAAAAAAAAAAAAAAAAAAAAAAAAAAAAAAAAAAAAAAATGCTTAAAGAAACAGCAAAGCATTTCTGCTACAGCCCATCGTGGGCCAAGGAGTTAACCTACCAATGACACAATTAAAGGCATGGTTATCGGTACCAGGGTGCGTAGCGAAATCTTTCAACAAAAAATAAGCACCTTTCAAAGACATTGCATGATCATAATAAAAAAACTAGTTTCTGAGAATTTCTGCAAAATTGAGAATTTCTTGCAAAATGCAGCTGAGTTGAAACATGATATGTGAAGAATAATTCCCACTGAATCCAGCTCAGTATATGCACATGCGGACCCACAAGCTTTTCATCAAACATATAAAATGACTGGTGCTTTCAAATGTTACGGAACAACGGCACACCGAAATGCATTGTGTTTGAATGATTTGAGAAAGCGTTGAACAGAACAATGTGAAAAGCACGCTTTTGCATAATATGTAGCAAAAATCGACATGGCAAAGAAAAAAAATTCTCATATTTGAAAAGGGAAAATTAAGCACTTTTAAAAACACACAATGAAAAAAGCACCTTTAAGGGCTTTTAAAAAACGAAAATAAGCACCTTTAAGGACTTTTTAAAAACACTATGCACCATGTGGTACATATCAATCTGAAGCTCGGTGAGCTCTGGGGATAAAAGAAAGAATGCTTACCACTTTTAATTTTCCAGTGCGTGGTTCAAATATTCTGATCTTTTTATCTTTACAAGTAGTGACTAGCCTACTACCGTTCCAATTCCAGCAACAATGAAATATGGCATCTGGATGATCCATCTGAGATATTGCTTCACCTGTACCCACATTCCAAATACGAACTTTGCAATCGGCACCTTCAGGGAAGAAAAAACAGAAAATGTAACAAATGCCTAAAATACTTAATGCTGCAACAATAATTAAATTAAAGAGACTAGAGTTTGTTTCACATGTCTATTTATCTCTAGATAGTTTTTAAATTTATATACAATAGGAACGTATGTTATAGGATCAAAAAAGCGAATAATTCTACTATTTTCTTTAAGTTCTTTTTATCCCTTTGACTAGGAACAGGGGTCTGTCCAGGGTAAATTTACTGACAGGTAAATTACTTATTAATTACCCTATCTGGGATATAATACTTATTAATTAAATGTTTAGCGATACCTTCATAAATTCAACTCTAGGAAAAGTTTCACAAAATACTTTTTAAAAACTCTAGTTTCACAAAATACTTTTAAAAAAGCAAGTTCTCATCCCATCTCGTTGCAATCTATAGAAAAGAGGAGCTTTTCCACCAGCTATCTTTTACGAAAAGGCACGTGTTCGGCCAGATAGTGCAATGCGGTAAGTCTAACCAATCGCTTACGTCATATCAAAGCGAGTGAGACAACAAGCAGGGGTCTGTCTAGGTTTTTCTGACAGGTACCTATTTTGTGAAAATTTAGACGTAATTTGTGAAAAATTAAAAATTATATTAAGAAATCAACACAAAAATATGGATTTTGGAAAAATACAAAAATGAAATTTTAAGAAAAAGTATTTTGTGAAACTACCGTTTTTCCAAAATTGAATTTGTGAAACTACCGTTTTTCCTAAAGTTGAATTTGTGAAGGTACCGCTAAACGGTAGTAAAATCGGCCTGGACAGACCCCTGACAAGGCTCTAAAAACTGTACAGGAAGTCGAAATTCAAACATTATTCTAACATACCTTTATTTTTTATGAAACATTTTTTTCTTCTGCAAAATTTTTTTCTGTATGACCCAGTTGAAAATGTTCTCATAACGAAAATACCTAACTTTTAGTGCTAGTACTGTTAAATACATGTTTTTATTATATTCAAGTTGAAATTTAACTATGGCCAATTTTTTTTTATGGATTTTTAAATTTGGATACAATTTTAAGCCCAAAATTTTACAATAGAAAAATAATTTTTGATTATATGAGAAAAAATAAATAGAAATTTACCAGTCATAAATGATTTTTATTTGTAGTGGCAATTTGCGAAAATATTTTCTTACATTACCATATTTCTGTGTTGATTTTTTAATATAATTTTCAATTTTCACAAATTATACCTAAATTTTAACAAAAAAGGTATCTCTCAAAAAAATCTAGACAGAACCCTGAGTAATGTGATTGGAATATGTTTCCTGTTTGTCCTAATTTATTCTTATCAGGGTACATAGCCAAATCTTTCAACAAAAAATAGACACCCTTTAAGTACTTTTTAAGCACTCAAAAAATATTTTTAAGCACTATATACACTAACAAAATGCAAAATAATTTTAAAAGACTTTAGTTTAAGTTTTAGTTAAGACTTTTTCTTTATTATATTAGACACCATAAAAAGATCAAGAGATTTTATGGTTTGATTTCAGAGGGTTCAAAAATGAAGCCTGCAATTGAGAATGACTCGCAAAATGCAGCAGAGTTACATATGAGAGTGCAATAATCTTACTGAAGCCAGCTCAGTAGGCACATATGCGGACTTCCAAGTATTTCATCAAACAAGTAACATGATTGGTGCTATCATACTTTATGAACCAACAGTACGCCGAAACGGATTGAGGTTGAATGAATTGCGAAAATGTTGAATGAAACAATGCGAAAAGCACGCTTTTGCATAATACATGGCAAAAATCGACGTGGTAAAGAAAAAAAAAAAATCTCATTTTTGAAAAGGGAAAATTAAGCCCTTTTTAAAAACACCCAATGAAAAAAGGCACCATTAAGGGCTTTCAAAATACAGTTGAACCTGTTTATCTCGAAATTTCTAAAATTCCCTACATTTACTGTCTAAAATCAATGTATTTTCCATGTTTATGTCGAATTTTTTTTCTTCAAAACCTCTGTTTCTCGAATTTTTAATAATAGAGCACAAATGTCAAAACTTTCTTAATCAGTAGAACTCATAGACAGAGATGAATTTCGTAAATCAACAGGAAGTAGGGATGAATAGGTAGGGGGTGTTTCTTGGAATTTCAATTGCTATCCCTGCACTTCCTTCACTAGAAAGGAATACAATGATTCTGGCAGTAAGTGAGGGGTTAATGAGTAGTGACCATCAGATAAGAAAGCTAAGAATAGAAATTCATTTTGACCTTAAACTTACAACCAATGGATCAGAGGATAATTAAGAGTTTTAAAGTGAAGTATAGAAAACTTGTCGATGCCATTGATGAAAAAAGTTAAGACGCTATCAGAATTACTGTTTTGCCTGGAGAAATGTGTCTCTAAAAACCATCCAAAATGGTTTTAAAAAGCTGGTTTCAAGAATAGCTGTGAAGATGATGAAGGCATCAGTAAAGAAGAATAAAACATTAACGTTGAAAATGCAGTGCCAGATTTGCCAGAATGGAATGCAATAAAATCTGGATTTAATGTTGACATTAATTTTGAAGATTTTTACAAGTGGACAATTGCCTGGCAACACGCGGAACATTGACAGGTGCGGAAATCATAGATAATGTCGGAGGAATATCAGATGAAGATCATATTTATGAATCAAAAGTGAATGCAAAAGAAGCACAAAAAGCTGTAGAATTCTTATAAACTACTCTTGAATTCCCAGGAAAATGTTGGCTATGAGGAATTTGCGATCTTTCTAAACCTTAAAAGAATAATCGAAATAAATAAGGTTATACGTCAAAAATCTTGGAAAAATTATTTTCAGTTCTAAATCTACATTAAAAAACCGTTATGTAAATAGATGTATGTGGTACAATTAATTTAAAGAAATGTTTATATTTTTCTACTAAAAACAATTAAAGCACTTTTAAAAGAATTTAATTAAATTTAATTTCTTTTAAAGTACCTGTATAACTCGAAACCTCTTTATCTCAAATTTTTCGCTTTTCCTGTGAGATTTGAGGTAAAGAGGTTGGACTGTACAAAATTAAGCACCTTTAAGCAGTTTTTAAAAGCACCATGCCCTGGTGACAAGAGTTTCTAAAAGAAATGATACCTGCACTAAGGAGAATGTTGTTGGCCGAGGGGTGCCACACAACAATGCCCGCTCTTCTTTGATGTCCGCAAAGTTCCACAACAGGTTCAGTTAAGGATCTTGTGAGACCACCATCTGGGATACACCAAACTCTGACAATTCCATCTTCACTAGCACTTGCAATGACAGCATCATTGAAAGGACACCAGGCTATATCTAGAACAGCTCCTTTATGACCAGTCACCATGGGGTAGTTGATATCCACACGGCCAGTCTGTTGAATACATTTATCTGTTAACTCTCTCTTTTTTTTTAAAGTACAATTTTTACTTTAACATGAGCAAGTAAGCCCTGCGGCAGAATTTTTTTCAGCTATCTGCTATTAATTGAATATTTAATTGAAAAATTAAATTACTTACCAATGAAGAATTCCACAAATTTATAGTAACTAATTTAAGAAAAATCTTATTCTCACAAGAATACTCTTATTCTTATAAGAATCACAAATGCATTTTCGAAATTTCGTGAATATGAATCACGATATTGGATTTTAAAATTTTGTGAATATAAGTCGCAATACCAGATTTTAAGAACACATAAATACGAAATTATATGCTGTATTATTATTATTGAAAAATCATAACTCTCTAGAACTAATATCTCTCTGCAAGATACTTTTAAACAACCATATATGTTACTAATTTAAAATTTGTGCTTACAAAAGAAAAAACTATGCAATTTTTTTCTTAATTGAACATGTAATAATTTGTTACTCTAACATTATGTGTGATATTCTTGTATTTTGTTGGGAGAGGGTAAAACGCTCAAATTATTTCCTCAGGGTTGCCACTCAAATCTGGAAAAAATTTCCCTGTACATATTATACACAATATATTAAGAGCACACAATATATTAAGTCACCTGTATTTTCCAGGTTTTTCCTTTTCTCCCTGTGGAGTGGCAACCTTGTTCCTTCTTTGCCTTTTGTAAATAATCACAATAAAAAATCATGAAATCGGTAACAGTAGTTTCCAATAAAAAGACAGATGAAAAATCACGCGAATCTGACTCCTCAAATCCATATTTCGTTTGGAGATTAGGTTGTTGCAATATATAATATCATATAAAAAATATCGGTTTTAAAAACTATGTAGAAATTAATAGCAATAACAGCCAAAAAAAATCAATAAAATCATTGCATAAAAAGTAAATACTCAAATGCAAGATTCGATTTTTTCCATATTGTTTGAAACACATCAGAATCTTACACAACCATGTGAAAATCAAAATCAATAACTGCCGAAAATACAACCGAAATATTATAAAGATTTAGGATACTATCGGTTTAAATTGAGGGTAGCAAAAAGTGATTAGCCAAATGCATAATTCACATACTAGGTGCAAATTTCTGTAGAAAGTAAAAATTTTTTTTTTACTTTTCAAAAGAAAAATTCTGCAAGAATTCTGTAATGTTCTGCAACAATGTGATGTTGCTGCGATTTTGCCATGTGGCATGTAAGTACATGTTTTAAATTTAAGTGTTTCAAGTAGTAAGAAATAACAAGATAGAAAAGTAAATAAATCAATAAAACTAACTAAGAAAAACAATAAAAATCATGGGAAAATCTTTTTGGGGGACATAAAAATACGTGACAGGCGAATTTTGACAGCAGTACAATACATAAATGATTTTGTAAAACACACGTCATGGGTTAATTGTAAAATTCATCTCTTTGTAAACTGCTCAAAATGTCATTCTGAAGCTTATTGGAATGAGCCTAATAGGTGCATCGCCTACAGTTTGCAAAGGTTTTCCAATTAGCCCATGAAATATACATAAATATGTATAAAAGTGCATGAATGTCGAAAAAAGAATTGGAATGTAAAAAAGGGGAATACATTAAAAACAATTCAAATTAACCTTTTAAAAGCAGCAGATTTCACTTAAATTAAGATTCTGAATATGAAAAGAATTTCTTTTTTTTTTTCTAATAAAAAAGCATTTAAATATATTTGTTTAAATACTAAGATGGGCAGAATATAGAGAAAAATTCTTCACTGACTACATTAATTTCAACTATGCAACATTATATATTTAAGTTAAACACAGATATTGCATTCTTAATTACTTTAGTCTAGAAGTAAAAATGCTTCTCAAATTATTTTAGAATAACAAATTAAACGTTTTAACAGCAAAGTTTATTACCAGGGTGTGTAGACAGATTTTTCAAGCATCCTTTAATTACTTTTTAAAAGTTCTCAAAAAATATTTTTAATCACTTTTCAAAAAGAAAAAAAAATCATAATTAGGATCTGAGCATTAATAAAACTATTTTTTTCTAAGGTTTTAAAGTTCTTAATTTATAAGCATAAAATTAATAAAATTCAAAAACAATATTAGAAACTTTGCATAATCATGATAAAATAACTACTTTCTAATAAATAATGAAGATAAAATTGTGAAAAATCATGCATTTTTTATAATTTAGAACGACAATCGATACGGAAAAGAAAAAATCTCTTCCTAAAAGATAGAAAATTAAGCACTTTTTAAGAACGCTACACACCCTGATTACAAATTGTGTAATAGAAAGGCCAGATAACAACCAGCTAATTATCAAAACTAGCGACTTAAAAATAAATTAAGAATGTATTGGATTTATAATTTTTGTGACCATGTATTCTGTAATTCCTTACCAACAGAAAAGTTTATATGATTAACACAAACAAAATGCATTCATTTATGTGTCAGAAATTAACACAAACAAAATGCATTCATTTATGTATCAGAAATTAACACAAACAAAGAAATTCATAGATTTGAGCACCAATTTTTACTAACTTTTTGCAAAGGAATGACTAAAAAAGCACCTCCTCCTGCAGCTTCAATAACGATGGCTACGAATTTTGGATTAACAGCACAAAAATTTGAATCCCAAGAACTCTTAGTTATCTTGATATTGTCATAGCAGTTATCCCTCTTCGATGGCTGAGCAAACACATGCCGAAAACGACTGTTCCTCACAATTCTAAAAGACATCTGTAAATGACAAAATCAACAATTGAAAATTAATGAAAACAAACGAAATTAATACAACAATTCAAAAAAGATAAATAATGCAAATTAAATACAGAAACCTTTTATAATGCTGCCAATTTTAACTTTTTTTAGACAAGTAGTAAGGGACAGCAAAAGCTTGTGATTTATTTTTTAATTTTATCTTTCAAATGTTTTTATTTGTTAGCATTTAGAATTTTTAGGTTAAGATAAAAATTTTTTCAAAGATTAACCAATTTGAAGTAAATTATAGTTAGCATCTACTTATAAATTGTTGCCACCTACTTCAAGTTTAACATTTCCGTCATGTTTTCTTCTAGTTAATTTTGTATTAGAGTTTGTGAATCTGGCAACTATATTTTTATGTTCTATTTATGTTATAATATTAAGTTAGAGAACTTACGATATGTTGCGTTTAAGAGAATTCGATACGATTTTCATCTTTATGATGTAAGTTTATGCATCCAACAAATACATGTAAATAATATATTGTAAATAGTCCTATTATTCTGAGTGTTGCGTTGTAAAATAAAGTAATTAGAAGCAAAAGAATCTCGAGTCATAACATTAATATTTATGAATATATTAATGCCTTCCCTTATTCTTTTCACTCACCAACTGATTCTTTCACAATTACTTTTGTTTATATAACAGATTGTAAATTAGAAACTATTCTATTAAGAAAGCCCAAAATAGTTTTTGAAGAGATTCCATTAGTATAAAATTTCAATATGGCTATGTTTTATGGTTACCACAAGAATTTCATCACTAAAATTGTTTTTTGAAATGCTTATTTCATTTTAGTAATAATACCTAATAAGATCCTTTGTTAATTTTATACCAAGTACAGCCAAGCAAAGTAGAAAAACATCTAAAAGGAAAACTGGATCAATCAGCGTGATGTAACTGTCCAATGAGATGACTTCCGGGCTCAATTTTTTTTTTTTTTAAAAATTACAATTTTGATTTGAAAAACAACTTGAATCATGAAGTCAAAATTACAAGTTAGAATTCTTGATTGCCATTTTGAGACAATTCTGACCCAGTTAAAATTAGCAATATATATATATATATATATATAATTAAACATCAATACAGATCAAATACCTTTTTAGCACTAAATTATATTCAAATTAATGAAAGCATTACAATCCAAACATTTTCTACATTCCATTAAGAAAATGTAATTTCATTGCATTTATATATATATATATATATATATGCACACATATATATAGGACATATACACACACATATATGCAGCACATACATGCACCTCTCTTTTGAGATATTTTCATTTTCACTGATTATGTTTTGATACTATAAAACAAATAAATTTTCAAACAAATTTAAAAACGCATACATAATTTTTATTGCAAGGTCACTTCAAAAACTATCTTATCTTTAATTGCTAGAAGGCATTAAAAATTGCAAACAAGTCATGTTAACATTGATTGAATAGCATTATTAAAAAAAAACCCAAAACAGCACAACATTATTGCTTATTAATATGTCACAGTAACGGTACTAATAACTATTAAAGTGCATAATTTTTCAACTGAATTCAAGCGAAAACTTCAGTTTTTCCTATTTCTAGATATTATTAGTCCTGTTTTTAAATTTTAGGCTGAGTCAAAAAACTTTGTAAGACATTTGTAACATTTACATGCAATAACACATAAAAAGTAAAAACAGAACTGTTAGGGCAACAGTGAATAAGTATATTTTCAATTGTGAACAGCTAAAATGCATGAATATTGAATTAACATTCGTTACTTAAGCTTTAAGTTAGATAAACGACTCATTAAAAACTAACCAGGTTACTTACAACTTGAAACTTCGAATTGTCAACATTAATGAATACTAAAAGTTAAATATCAGTTACAAAATGCTCAAAAGATATTAAAACAACTCACTTTATAAGTTGTATAATAGTGAAAAATGAAGAGTGTGAAACTTAACCATTAATTAAACAGGAATGTATCGCATTGTAATAGTAAACAATTGACAGCCGACAGCCCACACCTATTATTAAAGATTACGATATTGATTAAGTATTCGTAGTAATTTTGCAGACTTTCCAGAAATAAGCGCCGCGATGGCTGAGGAACTCGAGCCAGATGACTCACATTTTCTGCAGTTAAGAGATTACAAGCGTTTATGTGTAGGGCTTTAAACGACAAATAAATTCTTCAATGTAATCGTAATTATAAGATTAAACATTTTCTTCCGTTCCATTCTATCAGTTTTTAAAGTTTTTGTACTTTATTGTTATATTTCGATACAGTCTTCGAGTTTGTTACGGTGCGACCAGTTCAATAAGTTCGACGGTAACAAATAATTTAACTGATACAGCGTCTATATTTTCTGTCTGCTCTTCGGCACCTCTGCAATTTTTTTAATCATTTTTTGTAAAGAATATGTGATTTATTTGGTAAGTTAAAATTTATTTCGGATTGAAAATAATTGTTGAAACTTCTCTAATGATGAGTACGATGACTAACTGTTCGAGTTAATTTTTTTGTAATTACTCATAAAATAGTTAGCGATGTCTTAATTTTCATTTATCCCCCTTTTATAGGTACTTACTAGACTTAAAATTCGGACGAAAGCAGTGCGAGATCTAATTGAATCAATTTATGGATGTAAAATCTAAAGAAACAAGCATTAATAAATGTTGCCAAACATAAAAAATATTGTCAAACATAAAAAAAGATTGTTAGCATATGTTTTTGGTAAAAAGTGTATTTTAACTATATTCATTTGCTCCACCTCTTTAGCATAAATGATTTTGTTGTTTAAATTCTTAAAGAGATACAGTTAACACTTATATATATTGGTAGAATTTTGTTTTGTTCTTTGTTTTTACACCCTATGCATAGGCGTAGCGTAAAAGACATTCTTTTTGAGTGAAGGGGGTAAAATGTTTTTTTTTTAAAGGATATTTTGGGTATCTCGAAGTTTCCAAAAGTTGGTGATTATTCTGTCACAGATCACGATTTGGAAGTCTTTCCAATATGTATATACATAATAAAATTTTTGCCATGTGTAATAATATGCCAATTTTTTAACCATTATTTTGTGTCTTGTGCAATCTTAGTATGCGTAACGTTTTTAAAAAGTACATAAAGGTACTTATTTTCGTTTTTTCAAAGCCCTTGAGGGGTCTTTTTTATTGATATTTTTTGAAAAAAAAAAAACTTGCTTGAATTTCCCTTTTCAAAAATGAGACTTGTTTCTTTACCATGTCTATTTTCGTCACCTATTATGCAAAAGCGTGCTTTTCACAGGCATGAAAATTTTCAGCTTTTACTCTGATTTCAGCTTTTTTCAAAGCTTTTTAAGCTCCATACATTTATTAATTTCATAATGTTTGATTGTGTTTATGTAGAATTCAGCTTTTTTTGCAAACTGGTACTTTCATCCCTGTTTTCACATTGTTCTATTCAACAATTCATTCGACCACAAACCATTCTAGCTTACATTCGGTCCGTTGCGTAAAAGCGCCACTTATTTTACATATTTGATAAAATACTTTGTATTCAGCAGGTGCATCTACTGAGCTAGGTTCGGTGAGAGTCTTGCACTCTAATGTGCCACTCTGCTGCATTTTGCAAGATATTCTCAATTTCAGGCTTCGTTTTCCTCCCTCTGAATTTGAACCGAAAAATCTCTTGATCATTTTATAATTATGGAAAGAGTTCTTTGTCAGAAACTAGTTGTTTTACCATGATCATGTAAAGACTGAAAATTATTTTGTATTTTCTTAATGTATATAGTGCTTAAAAATATTTTTTGAGTGCTTAAAAGGTGCTTATTGTGTTGAAAGATTTGACTACATATCTTGAATCTAGTCTTCCAAATTTTTAAAAGCTGTTTGATATGAAAATTAAGTAGTTAAAATGCTGATCACCTGACTGAAGTGTTATTCTGTGTCCAACTCAAATGTTTGTTTTTATTAGTTTAATTTAAACCATGGAATGGACAGAGTCGTGGATTTTGAGACTTGTGAAAAATTTACTTGGATATACTACTGTTGCAGTACCTGGTGCTCTGCTAGTGTATTACTCAAAAAAATCAAAATATCTGGACAATACAGGTAGGTTTATTACTGACCTTTTAAACCTTTTATATTATGCCAATAAATGTTGCATTGATTTAGTTATGTCTAGGGTTTAAACTAAAGGTGTGTATAAGTTATAAATGTTTCTTGCCTTTTTGCATTTTAAGTCTGTATCAGTAAATTCAAGAAATCTCAGGGGACACACGTAACATACCCTCCAACTTATGAGGATTTTAAAAATAATTCTTTCTAGTGGTAGCGAACCAAAGTAGAAATTTTTAAAGCAAATGGATCTCTCATAAAACTTTTATCAGAACTTAAGAATCTAGCCATATGGCCTGCACTTTTATAAGTAATAGTGGACAAGTTGCGCTAAAATAAACTTTTTTTTAAATATTTAGACATTAATTTTGCTACCGTCTGAAAAGATTTCTAAAACTACAGAAATTCCGTAGCAGTTGGAGGGTATGCACGTAATATAGTAAAACGGAGATTTGCAGTTAATATTAGTAATATAGAAAAATAGAATGATAGAGTTAATATAAAAAAAGTTAGACCAGGTAAACATAGAATAAATCATGAAGTTCCAATGTTTTGAACTGAATGAAAACAAGTTATGGCGGGATTCGAAAGTGAGGAAATAATCTTGCAGTAATTAATTTGAATCTTGAAACAGGGTTGGGTTTTTGGATGTCCTAAACTGGTTTTGTTTTATGTGGGTTTTACTGCCTTAAAATGTCCTAAACCTTGAACATTGGTAAAGGGTAAAAATTCTATATGTTTAACAATTGTACACATAATAATTATATATATTAATAAATATTTGATGCTTTTTATACAATTTGCTTTAATTTTTAAAGGAAATTAATAAAATAGGAAAAGATTTATAACTTTTGAAGCTTCACAACTCATTGAACAACAAAAGTGAATGCCTTTAAATATGAATAAATTTGCTTTTAATACTGATGAATTATGTCTTTGCAAAAGGATAAATACTGCAATATTGAAAATAATAATAAACTTTTTTAATAAAACCAAAACTTGTCTTCGTTTTATTTTTCACAATATATATTTTTTAAAATTGGGACATAATTTGAGTAAATAGGTTTTGAACAGGCCGGTGGATTAAACCGTGGATTAATCCATTCTGTCCAAAACCTTTGCCAACTCTGCATGGAATAAAAAAAAATGTCACCATTTGAAAATTCATAATTTTACCGAACTCACTTTTCCTTTAATTTCATAAACTAATCTGTTTAGTGTTTTATACTTAACTTTTAACTTTACTTTACACTTAACGTTTTATACTTTACACTTAACATACTTTTTTGTCAATCTTTTTTATAAGCATCAGCCATAAAATTTGCACCACTGGATATTAATTGAAATAATTGTCTTTTAAGTTAACTAACCTGAGCAATGTAGTGTTTCAATATGTAAATATTAAAATCAGTTTAAAAACTATGTATAAACTGACTGAGGCCTTCTATTATCATTGGCAGACAAAATATAAAAAAATAGATGGATTTCATCAATTTTTCCTGCCCTCATTTAAAAAACCCAATAAATATGGTATTTCTTAGTTTATATTTAAGAATATATTTAATATAGTTTTTAAGAAATATTGATATTCATAAAGAGGATACTTCTTTTTACTTCTATGAAATGTTCTGTATTTTTTTGCTTTGCTTTACTTCACTTGATGAGTAAAGGTAAATAAATTTGCTCCAATTATTTTAATTTAATATAGAAATGCCCTATATTTTTTTTCTTTGCTTTACTTTGCTTGATGAGTAAAAGTAAATAAATTTACTAAAACTATTTTAATTTAAAATTTGATCTAGAAATGTACTATATTTTTTTTGCTTTGTTTTGTCTGATGAGTAAAAGTAAATAAATTTGCTAAAACTGCACTCTATAATAAAAAAAATTGACGCACTAAGACGCGCAAAATCGACGCTCGATCAGGCTGGAATGATGCCGACTGGGGACGTATAGTCTTAAGCGACGAATCCCGCTTCCAACTGTGTCCTGCCGATCATCGAAGACGTGTTTGGAGACGCACAGGGCAGGGGATATCCTGCCTTCACTATTGCACGCCAGACTGGCCCTCAACAAGGCATTATGGTCTGGGGTGCCATTTCCTTTGACAGCTGGACCCCTTTGGTCGTCATTCGAGGTACACTTACTGCACAGCGGTACGTCAATGACATCCTAAGACTGTTCCTTTCACAGCGCCCTGGGCTGGGTTTTCAGCAGGACAATGCCAGGCCACATACGGCACGTGTTGCTATGAACTGTCTGCAAGCTTGTCAAACTCTTCCTTGGCCTTCCAGATCACCAGATCTCTCTCCCATCGATCATGTCTGGGATATGATGGGAAGTCGATTGCATCTGGCACGGAATGTTGATGACCTGTTCGAAAATTGGATCGAATTTGGCAGGAAATACCGCAAGAGACCATCCGGGAGCTTTATCGGTCTATGCCACGCCGTGTTGCAGCTTGTATCCAGGCTAGAGGCGGGTCAACACCTTATTGAACTTGTTACTGTAACTCTACAATAAATTATTCAATTGTTCTGAAATTTTAATCATTTACTATTCTGTACATTGTCTTCCTATCCACAAATTTTCGTTTCAATCGGACAACTCCTTCTTGGTGTGTCGATTTTTTTGTTATAGAGTGTAATTTAACCTGCATCTTAATATAGAAATGTACTATATTTTCTGTTTTGCTCCATTTGGTGAGTAAAAGTAAATAAATTTGCTGAAATTATTTTAATTTATAATTTTCTGCAAATTTTTTTAAGATGTGTATCAATGTTAACACCTGAGTTCTTTTCTTTTTAATAGCTTTATCTAGAAGAGCAGCAAAGAGTATGTTTCAATTTTATTTTAAATTATCAACATTATTTGAATTTTATGCAAAATTCAACTGAACTATTACTAATATTTCTCTGTTAAAACGCTACCTTAAATTTGTCAATTATAGTGTTAGAACAATTGTAGGTATAAATTAAGGAATCAATGTTTATAGAAAAAAAATGTAAATGTTTATTCTTAAATTTGATGTTGGACATGTTAATAATATCTGTATAGAATTTTTTTATCATAAATTTAAAATTAAGTAACAATAAATACAGTAGTTCATAAAAAATTATAATTGATACATGATCAAATGTGAATATGCAATTAATTTATAATTACAGTAATGTAATAGTATAGTTTGTCTAAAGTAAGAACTCCTCTAGCCATTCGTGTGAACTCGTGACGGTGACTATGGTAACGAGGAATAACTATTTCAGGTTGGTTTTGGGTCATTGTTGAGGACAGGTTTGGGGTCAGATCAGTGAGAGAGAGGGTATCTTTTTCTTCAGTCTATTGTGTTAGCCCTGGAGTGAAGGCTATCCTCCCTGAAATGTGATACTCTGGTTTCCATAGCAGCAGACAGCCTCTGACTTTGTGGCAGGGGGTGTTCTTACAATAGACAAACTATAAAGTACCTTGCTTATTTAAGGTTGTTTGTTTATTTGTGTAAACATATAAATAATTTTTGAAGCTTTATATAAAATGACTCATTAATTCAAAAATATAAGGAAAATAATGAACTGATTTTTTGTTGCAACTCTAGTGATACAGTAGCGATATTATATGGATTTTTTTTTCTTTTTCAAAAATAGGTAAAAGGGAAGAGCAAATAATGAAAGTTGATATGTTGCAACTGCAATAATGCTTCAGGAGTCTGTTCAGGGCAAATTTACTACCATTTAGCGGTACCTTAACGAAATCAACTTTGGGAAAAACTGTAGTTTCTCAAAATACTTTTAATAAAGCAAGCTCTAAGATTCTCCTCTCTTTCAGTTAAAATTTTGTTTTTGTATGACCTAGTCGAAAATGTTTTCATAATGAAAACAACTTTTAGTGCTAGTACTGTTAAATCCATGTTTTTATTAAATTCAAGTTGAAATTTAACTAAGGACAAAGGTTTTTATGGATTTTTAAAGTTAGATAAAAATTTTAAGCCCAAAATTTTGTAATGGCAAAGTTATTTTTGAATATGTGGGGAAAAACATAAAGATACTTACCAGTCATAAATGATTTTTATTTGTTGTGGCAATTTTTGTAAGTATTTTCTGATTTTACAATATTTTTGTGTTAATTTTTTAATGTAATTATTAGTTTTCACAAATTATGTTTAAAATTTCACAAAAAATTAATTATTAAACAAATTATTAACAAATATTAAACAAATTATGTTTAAAATTTCACCTTGACAGACCCCTGTGCTTACATAAGTTTAAAAAAGTTAAAAAGAGCAATAAATGATAGGGAAGGGAGTATTATATACAATACTATACTCCCTTCCCTATCGTTATATAATACTTTCCCATATATTATAGAATACTTTGTTGTAAAACCTGATCTTAATTAATTGTAATTTACTTTAATTATTCTTAGATAGCTGTTGGGCAAGATATGTTAAACTCTTTGTGCACGGAGAGGAAGAGACAAGATCATCATCAGAAATTCCTATTTCAAAGCCAAAGCATACCAATCTCCAAAAAGCTTTTACGATTCTTTTCTGTTTTTTGGGACTCCAGCTGTCATACCTAACATGGGGTCTGATACAAGAAAAGATCATGACCCAAAATTACCACAATGCTCTTGGTGAACAGGCAAAGTTCACCGACTCGCAGTTTCTAGTCTTCGTCAATCGCTTCTTAGCTTTTATTTTTGCCGGCACGTATGTGTCCTTGTCGAGTCAACCCAAGCACGTTGCCCCCCTGTATAAATACTCTTATTGCTCCTTCTCAAATATTATGAGCAGTTGGCTGCAGTACGAGGCGCTCAAATATGTGAGCTTCCCTACTCAAGTCTTGGCGAAAGCATCTAAAATAATACCCGTGATGGTCATGGGTAAAATCATATCAAAGAAAGGGTATAAATATCACGAATACGCCACCGCCATTGCCATATCTATAGGAAGTGCCATATTTCTGTTATCAGGCAAGAAGTCTAGCGACATAGCCACAACGACCACCGTATCCGGTCTTGCAATTCTCGTGGGCTATATTGTGAGTGACAGTTTTACTTCTAATTGGCAGAGTGCACTATTTAAGCAATATCACATGTCCTCGATGCAAATGATGTGCGGGGTTAATTTCTTCTCTTGTATATTCACGTCTATATCGTTGTTGCAGCAGGGAGGGTTTTTTACTTCATTCCTATTTTTTATCAAGTTTTCTAGTTTTTTATGGGATTGTTTGTTGTTGTCCGTCTGTTCCACCATCGGGCAATTATTTATTTTCTACACCATATCGGAATTTGGAGCGGTCATTTTCGTCATAATAATGACCATCCGACAGATCATTGCGATTCTCTTGTCGTGCTTCATTTATCACCACCCCCTGACTCTCAGTAGAATTTTCGGTGTTCTCATTGTGTTTACGACTGTTTTTCTGAGGATTTATTTGAATCACCGAACAAAGAAACCTGCACCATCCCCTGCAACTGTGCAGGAGAGTACGACTAAGGCGTAAGATCTGATTTGTGTTTTTAAACTTTTATGGCTGTTGAAATTGTTGGTATATATACTAAGTTTTTATTTTGCTTATTTGTGGTATGCTATGCATTTTGAGTTAAAGTTGCTTTTTTTGTTACAAATATACATTAGTTTCTTTTTAAAATTTATTCCTAAGTTTAGTATAAATATGTGTTAAGTTGTTCAATTTATATATTGTATTTTGACTTATTATGGAACTTAAATTATTTTTCTATACAGGAATCTTCCTCTTTATAAGAGTACTGTTAATGTAAATAAGACTATTATTATATAATTCTTATGGTTATAAGTATGAAGAATAATACTAAATTAGTCTGAAAATTTATTTTTAATTAACTGTATGCTTAAAGATATAAGAATATACTTGAAAAAGGTCAACATTCTGAGAATATTCTTCTGGAGCTATAATTAAGGGGTAATCTTTAAAGGAGGAAAAAATGTATTATAACACTTATCTGAGAAGTGTTGTTCTTTCATCATTCTCAAACTGATAAAAAGTTACATTTGGGTGTACTCCCAGAATTGCAGTGACACGCCTACATTGTTGCGGAACTTAACAGAGTTCTTGCAGAAATATTTTTCTTTTAACAAGGGAAAATTTTCAGTTTTCTTTTTTACAGAAGTTTACACATAATAATTGAATCATGCATTTAGATAATGACTTTTTGATGCGCTTAATTTAAGCTGATAGTATCGTAAGTCAATGTAACGTTTCGATTGTATTTTTGGCAATTATTGATATTTATTTTCCCATGGTTTTTAAATATCTCGATTTATTTCAAACAATATGGAAAATTTATATTTTATTTACTATTTGAGGCATTGATTCTATCCAATTTTTGGCGGTTATTGCTATTAATTTCTCAATAGTTTTTAAATCCGATGTTACAATAATTTATTATGCATTTGAGTAACCCTTTTTTTAAGGAGTCCAATTCGCGTGATTTTGTCGTTGATCTTTTTTTTTCTTTCAACTACGGATTTCTTGATTTATAATAATTTTCTTATTGTGATGATTATTTACAGGGTGGCCACCCACCTGGAAAACCTTGAAAACCTGGAATTATCAGGGAATTTTTTTATACTGGAAAAAACCTGGAAATATCAGGGAAATTTGGATAAAAACCTGGAAAAATCAGGGAATTTTAAAGAAAAGTTGGAAATTTTTCTTTAATAATTTTTTTAATTTCACTAATTTAAATTATTTACTAATTTTCTTAATTTAAATTATTTCATCCATTATACCCACTTTTNTCTGAATCTCAGACACGTATGGTTTTTAAGAAAAATTTGTTCGAAAAGTTTTTTTTTTTTTTTTTTTTTTTTCCTTTCAACCATTTATAATAATTTTCTTATTGTGATGATTATTTATTGCGTTACTCCATCCCCCAACAAAATGCGAGAATATCACCCATAATATTAGAATAAAAACTTATTGCGTGTTCAATTAAAAAAAAGTGTAATTTTTTTGTTAACACAGCACTTTTGTTATTTTAAATTAGTAACATATATGTTTGTTATTATTAAAAGTATCTTGCAGAAAGGTATTAGTGGTTTGTCGCTGATAACTGGAAAAAAATCTGCCACAGGGTAATAACACTTGTCTAAGAAATGTTCTTTTATCATTTTTAAGCTGATAAGTTACGTTTAGGTGTACTCACCACATAATAGATAATTTAAAGTTTTTATTTCAAGAATTTTCTTCAAATTATATCTAAAACAGATTAAATTGAACAAAAACCTCAAAAAATGTATTATTTATAAATATAAAAAGCTTTTAGTGTAGGAAAGCACAATTTTTTGAGTGAATGGCCATTTGCACAGCTGGATGAATAACAAAGGGCTGTACGTTGAAAACACGTTGACGACAAATATGATTATTTTTATTAAAAGTATTAGTTTCCTAAGGACTAAATTTTTTGATCAGTGAAATTAGTAATATGTTTTCAGAAAATATAATACTTTTAATTATGTAAATTAGTAGTAGTAAACCCCCACCCCAAAAAAAATATATATAAATGATTGAAAAATAGTTGGATTTATGACGAAATCTGCAAAAATAAAGCTAGTCATCAAGTAATTACTTGATACAAAATTGAGGTATCGTAATATCATATTAATATTTTGTTTTTTTGAATATCAAATGGAATTTCAAAGCACTTACCCTGGAAAAAGCTATCGAGAAACAATATAGTTTTACTATAGAATCTGTGGAAATTGAGTGCACCGAGAATTAATGATTCAAATGTGTGATTCAAAATGTTTGAATTTTTCTTTTATTTTCAAAATTTTTGAATTTTTTTTTATTTAAATTTTTTTTTCTCCATTGTGTTCAGAAGCTTTGTAAGGCCACACATCAACAGCCCAGGTTGTGCACCCCTATTGTAATGTATTCCTTATTTTGCAAAAAAATAGGGAGAAAAATTCTTACTTTGTAGATAAAAAGTTGATTATATTTTTAATAACAACAATACTGTTTTAAAAAATTTCAAGCAAAATTTTACACAGTTTGAAAACTTATCTTCAGATTGTGAAGCTGAGCTTTTATTATTATTTTTTTTAGTATTTTATTCACTTGACTCAATATATTGGTACTGATGTTATGGGCCACAAATGTCTGCTTTTATTTTTTGTAAATAACCAGTTCCTTTTTCTGTATGTGTTCATCTATGGGTACTTAAAAATAATTAAGTGCTCAAAATTGTTTGAGAGAACAATTTTGATAGTTGTTTTTATGTAATAATTTTCAAAGTATGTTGGTTTCATTTCTATTTAGTTACTTTATCAACAATCTCACGCAAACTGTAATAAATTTTAAAAAATATGATCAAATTTAGTAGTTGATTATTTTTTAACTTATTCTATATATTATTTTACTATTTGAGATATAATTTCAAGTGCAAAGATTATTTTAATGTTTTGAGATCAATTTCAAAGAAAAATGTTTTTCTTTAATTTTAATTATTTGTCTTAAAAAATCTTGTGAAGTCCATTAATTTTTAAATAATGTGATCAAATTTATCGATTGTTTGTAATTATGCTTTTTTAAAAATTTTAGTGCTTAAAGAGTATACTTAAAAGGTGCTTATTTTTTGTTGAAAAATCTGGCTACACATCCTGTTTAATAATAATATCAAATGGAAAATTTTATTATGTGAATTAAAATATAGAAGACTGTTTCTGTAAAAAGTGGATCCATGTCCAAAAGTTTATTACCGAACATTTTACGCCTTTGTGTGATAATAAAAAAATTTAGTTATCATCTTCGAACAAGTTAGGTCTATTAATCATTATTTATTTCATTTTGCTAAGATGAAATGCAGTGTTCAATGTTTTAAGTTAAGAAATTAGTTTATTCTGTTACTGAGCTAGGTCTTTATTCTACTATTAATAATTATTTATTTCATTTTGCAAAACTGAAATGCAGTGTTCAATGTCTTAAGTTAAGAAATTCTTTTAAATAAGTTACCAGCAATTCTATGTAAAAATTGCTCATTAGCAAATTTTTTTTTTTTTGTCATAAGTAATCCCTGCAATGAAAATACAATATGTTATATTGTATTTACAGAGGTGTGTTTTTTAGTGTTGATCTGAAAAAGGTATTATTTTCCATATTAAAATAAAGGAGGAATATATATATATATAGTGAACTCTCGCTACTACAATATTCAGTACAACTATAACTTCCTTTATTACGATAATGTTTTGTGGTCTCGACGAACTTGCATTTGAATTAATATCACGCGTCTCTCAATATGATATTCTCTGAAGCAATAAACCCCTGTAAAATGATTTTTATTCCAAATTTCAGCCTCATTTTCTCCATTTATTAATCTTTTGTAATTTCCCCCTATCTTTTCTGACAAGAGAAGACTCACTGCTGACCATACCAAGAGCTTCCTTTCTTTAGAATTGCTTCCCTTATCACTTAAAAATTCACAAATGTAACATTCTTATCTGATTTCATTTCATTCATGCAAAAAGCTGATAATGAGTCACAAATGTCCACAGGCAACACCTGAAAGAGAATTTTTTCTGCAGAGGGTGGGTGGGGCACCATTCACAAAGGAAAATCGTTTTCCTGCTTTGGCTTCAATGCATACTTTGTTTGTTATCTTGACAGTCATAAAAATGAACAAATGAAGAAAAAAAATTGGTTTATTTTCAATAAAAATGCTTTTCAGGGATGTTTAGGATCTTATTTTCTGCATTTATATAAATTGTTTTTAATATTTAACCATAATTAACGCTCTGCCAACTAATTTCTTACATAATATATAAATATATTTATAGTTAATGCATAGAATAGCTGCGAAGCATTTTTGGTGGAATAAATAAAAGCAGTACCTGGCTTAGAAAATCAAACACGGAACTTTACAAATCATATAAAAAACCCGATGTCATTAAATTTATCAAAATTCAAAGGATTAAATGGGCAGGCCACATTATAAGAATGGAGGGTAGCAGGCAACCAAAAAAGTTTTCAGTGCCAGGCCAACAGGTACAAGAAAAAGAGGACGACCAAACCTAAGATTTTTAGACTGACTTGAAAAGGACCTACAAGTTTTAAAGATAATAAATTGGAGAACCTTGGCTAAGGGAAGAATGTCTTGGCATAGGCTTGTTAAGGAGGCCAAGGCCATCCGGGGCTGTCGTGCCAATGAGAAGAAGAAGGGAAGCATATAATAGCATTTAAATTAACAAAAAATCTTATTGTGTTCCCAAAGTATGTAGGCTCTTTATATAACAATGTATCCCTCTACGGCAATGTGTTTATTTGGTCCACAAAATATTGTTGTAGGGAAGTTTTACTGTATATATATATATATATATTGTAAAAAGTGTTGACTAATTCAAATCACCAAGTATTTAAGTATTTTCAATTCTAATTTGGATCTCCATTTGTTATGACTGTGATATTTCTTTAAGTTGTTATTTTTTTTTAGATATATTTTATCAAAGTAAAATTTTTTAACTGAATGCCCTGACTTCATTATTATTTCAATTAAAAAAAATTATTAAATGTTTTTGTGTATAAATGCATAAAGTTATATTAAGTAGGAAAAATGACTTTAAATTTGTTTAATGAGTGTATTTCTTTTCTTCGTACTGTATCAATAACAATTTTATCGAACTTTTTAATCAGTGGGGTACACATAAAATTCTTTAAAATTTAAATATTTTCCCTTTTTTAGGGGAAACATTTATAACAAGAAAATCAAGGAAACTAGGGAAAAGTCAGGGAATTTTATCAATAAGCATAAAGTCAAATAATTTTAAGTAAAGAGTGTACTTTAAAAATCTAGCATTTTTTTTCTTTTTCCAAAAACTTGTTTCTGAAATAATTTTCAACCCCAGGTAGCATGTGTAAGAGATTTGTAATGCATTTTGTGGATAAGAATAAAGCATAACTATAAAATTTTTGCCATGAGGTACAAAAAGCGGGGAAATTCAGTAAAATTAGTCTTTAAAAAATCAGGGAATTTCTTTTCTGAGTGTCTGTGACCATCCTGTAGTATGTTTTTTCTTTTCACTCGTACTGTCTGTTGGGGATGTTTTTTAGTCTCTGTTATTAGATATTTTTTGTTTACTCCGATTTATCCATATTATTCATTAGGAATGTTATTGTAGTGTATCTACCACTACAAAAATACAATTTCAATTCACTAGTATTTAAGACATGTCATCTTCCTAGATGAATGTTGACAT